AGCACTGTTTCATGTTTATATCGTCTAAATCAATGTTTCTTAAACTGCGGCTCCAGGACAGCCAAGACCCTGTTATGGGTCCATAAAATCAAAATTATTTCCTAGCCTATGTTGAAAAACAGTACAGTATTAAAATCCTATCAGGCCATCACGGTAGCAGCAGCAAGTGTGTCAATTTTAAAATTTATTGTGGTAAATATTGAAAAATATAATCCATGCAAACAATAGGTCTCTATAGGTCCTCTATAATTTTTAAAGTGGGGAGGAGTCCTGAGAAAAATAGGTTTAATGCTGGGCTAGATATAGCCACCTTTTCATTTTTGTATTCATTTGGAAAATGAGATTATAGAAACATATGTTCAATGGCCCAATTTGCTAACTTTGCCACCCGCTTGTAATAAGTTTGAAATTGTCTACCACGTTTCATCTTTCTTTTAACACATGACAATCATAAGATTTCTTTTTCTTCATTTTTATCTCACTTTCTTTGGCCTCATTTTCTCTTTCTGTCACTGAATCTGATTCTGATTGGATGTGATGGCACACTGCTATGTATGATATGAGAAATTTATTTTATAAATAAAACAACCTTCCACAATCACAACTAATAACAACAAGGGCAAATTACATAAAAGAGTGTGAAGACAAATAATTAAGGAAAGGTGGCAGACGGCATTAATGTCAGGCGGATGTTTTCAGTGGTGAATATTATTCATCATGGGAATACATTCAAGCAGCTATTTCTAAATGGTTATAGTGCAAGGATATGAAGGAAGAGGAAGCAGAGGAGGAGGAGGAGGAGGAGGAGAAGCATTTTTGTAAACTCATTGGAGTGGAAGTCTGCATAGAAGAGTGAGAAGAATAGACCTATATAACTTCCAGTCTCTAATGCCAGCCTGTGGGAAGAGGGGAGGCAACAAAGAGAATTTCTGGACTAACAGCAGCAATGGGTGAAGCAGTAATGCAACCACATCACACACATAGGCAGAATAATGTTCTGTTTTTTTCCTGGAATTGTGGGAAGTTTTTTTCTTTGCTTTTTAGGGTTGTGATATCTTTCTTTTCATATTTGCACAAAATGATGGGAAATCATTCCTCTGGTTTCTGGCAATTAGAAGAGAGCTACATTGGGAGAAGTCACCATGTTTAGTAGTAGCAGTTTCTGGTATCTTCAGTTTGAACAAAGGCCCAGGGAGCAATTGCCACGAAAGGCATCTCAGCCTGAAACCCTGGTCAAATGTTCTAGTTACAGGAAGCAAAATTTGGCAAATATTTTTATTTAGTCATTCATTTTCAAATAACCCTGGATGGCTTATAAAATATACGTGTGAATGTGTCCCCGCATGCCTATATATATCTATATACTACTAAAACTCTTGTGCCTGTAACCTTTAACTTGGCAAAATGGTGCATCATAAGCCAACACCTTTTCTACTGAGCGGTTCCTCCAATGAATTGACTTGGAAAATGTTGGGACCCATTTCTCCTGTGGAAATGAAACTTTGGAAAGTTTTTGCCATTTCAGTGCTACTGCATGGCTGCCATCCAGCAGTGCAGTCATGCAACACTTTCTCACAAGGTAATAGAAAAGTCTAGAAGCTTTCAGGAATTCTGGGAGTTGAAGTCCACAAGTCATAAAAGGGCCAAATTTGAAGGCCCCTGGTATAAGGTAATGTTACAGATTTAATTAAGCTGCCATTGCTTAATTGAACATCAGAGTTCAAACCTTCCTGGAGACTTTCTACATCACCTCCACCACTTAGACTGCTTCCTAGCCAATTTCTCAAAGACATATTTCTGATATAGATTAGGAACGTGCAAAATGCCATTTGGTGTGCAAAGTCACCATCTGGAAGTGTTTTAAAGCTCAAAACCAAGAGCTGTCAACTAAACACCCTCAAGGGATCATGTTTACTTAGACGTTACAGTATCTTCATGCTATTGAAATTACCTTTCCTGAAATGGGTGCTATATAAATTTAATAAGTAAATAAGTAAGTAAGTAAATACGTAAGTACATTTAATAGAATGAAGCCTTGAAGAAAGCCTAACATTAGAATTCAAATATTTTTGGAAGGAAATGGCAAAATAAAAAACTATGCATAGCCATTCGCAATATGCTTACCATTGCAACACATATTTGATTCTAAGGGCATATGTCATCTGACCACCCATAGAAAGTGATCAAGCCAGAATAATATAAATATAAAAAATGCCATCTATTTTTTTTTTATACAAACTGGGGTTTTTATAAACTGGGGTTGCCGTCTCTGCTTGGGAAAAGCAGCTGAGGCCAGGTAGAAATGCTTCCCACCCATCTTCCCCAAAGCTTAGTAAAGCTCATGTTGTTTCACAAACCTGAGAGATGGGCTCATGCATGCATTCATTTACAAGGGTCCTCAACCTTGGCAACTTTAAGACTTGTGGACTTCAACTCCCAGAATTCCACAGCCAGCAAAGCTGGCTGAGGAATTCTGGGAGTTGAAGTCCACAAGTCTTAAAGTTGCCAAGGTTGAGGACCCCTGATTTACATGCACACTTATGTTCTGGCTGGCTGGCAAAATGAGCCACACCCTGGTATTTCCAAGGACATTCTGATATTCAAAAGCAACTGCACCCCACCCAGATCCTTAGCTTACAGAAACAAATGCTAAGATTGTGAGTGTGTATGTGTGTGTGTATGTGTGTGTGTGTTGTACGAGAAAAGGAGATAAGGAGCAGCTTACAGGTGAAGCAGGAGATGATATCAAAAGACTGACCACTGTTACAGGCAGGCCAGATGAATATCAGTCAACTGCCAGGACCACAAGCTACAATAAGCAGCATTTCTTGGTGGGATTCCTGCCTGGAGCTTGGCAGCAACTAGAAGAGAAGCAATCACACTGAAAGCATTTTATCCCAAGTAGTGTAAAAACTTTTGGAAAAAGGCAAAGATTGTATGCTGCTTTACAGACCTTGAGGCTTTGAAACTGAGTATTAAAAGACGGCATATAAAGGACTGAGGGTTAAAGACATATTAACATGGCAACTTCACCTTGCAAAGCTTAGAACTGACCCAAAACAATAGCCTGTTGTTGGAGAAGGTATCTGCTGCTATAAAGCATTGTGTACAGCTTTGTTATGCTGTGTTGTGTCCAGTCCTTGGAAAGCATAGAACCCTCACATTTATGAAAAGATAGTTATTTTTAACTATATTTTTAATATATCATCTGAAAAGTCTCAAACTTGCATGTCCTCCCTTTGGTTGCTTTCTTGTTGACCCATTAGCAGTTAACAGCACCTATTGTGTATGTATGCATATGTGTATATACAGTATGTATTTGCAATCCCAGCATAGGAATATGTTCCAAATTGATAGATCTGCTTAGTGATTTGATGAGATCCTCCCTTTATTAGGCTATAACCACGAATGCTCTTTGGGAAGGATCCCAAGCAAAAGAGAGAGAGGAATGGATCTGAAAACCATCTCATAATTCTGCTCAGATAGAACCTTCCCTTCCATCATTAACTGCCCTATGAGAAGAATACATAAATAGAAAGAGAAGAAGGAAGGCACAGATTATCCTAAAAACATCATTTGAACGTTTCCACACATATGAATCTCTGTAAAAAGAGTAAAGAAGAAAGGTGAAATCCATCCCAAAACCTGCTTCAAGTGGGAATCTGCCTTCCCTTCGTCTTATCCCTGTGTTATGGTTGTTGTATTTTAGTTTTAAATAATAATTTCATTTTTTACAAATTTTATATTGACTGTAATCTGCTTCAGGAAAATTGTTATCCTAAAAGGCAAGATGGAAATCATGTGAGAAGTAAACAAACTGTTCCAAAATATGTATAATTCTCCATGAAATGACTGAACAAAATCTCTACACTTTCTGAACAATCAAGAATAAATGTAGGGTTTGTAAAAAGTAATTATCACGGAAGATAATGTTTTGCTGTCTAAAAAGCCATTAAACACATTTTGACATCCTCTCCTTGATTTTTATGAATGCTTCTGTTCTTCATGTTACCAGCCCACTCTTGAAGTGTGATCTTTAATTTCCAGAATTCCAAGAGAGTACAGCCATTGTTAGTCAATTGAAACTTGATTGAATGTTGGGAGGCACTATTTAATCTGGTGTCCAATAAACTCATTCATACATTGGGAGATCCTCTTTCAAATGGAAGGATCCTGTATCTATCTACTGATGCTTTCAGAAAAGATCTCAGAATGGTCAATTGGTGCATAAATTCCAACTGCTGATCATATCAGAGCAGAAAAAGATTCAGATACACTAAAAAGATTCCCACATCACTATAGTAACAAACGCATCAATCGAACTAGGATTCTGGTTATTTTTCTCCTTTTTAACTCATTAAATAATGAATTGATTTCTTCTGAGATAGGAATCCCTTTTTAAATAACTCACAAGCTTTTTGCCACATGGCATCATTTGGGATGATGCACAGTCTTTCTGTAAGAACAACAAAAGGCAGCCTGTCATTTGTTTTCCAAAAAATGATACTCTGTTGATTTTGATCTAGTAGCACAGCATTCCTCCTTCTTGGTAGAATGGGCTAGTTGTAGTAGAAACTGTTTTTCCTTTCCAAATAGAAGAATCAGGGTTACAAACAATATTTAGTGACTGTCTTTAGTATGCTGTAATATGTGTGGTGAAATAAAGAGCACTAAACTTGAAAGAATATGTGGAAGAATGTTGAACCTGAAACAGAACCAACATATTATATTCTATTGCTTTTTAATTCTTAACTGTATCCTACAAAGATCTCTCTTTTTTTGCCATTTTCACTACCTTTTTAGTTGTCATCATTGCATCTGATGATATAATCATATTTTTCCCAGGTATATTATATATTAGTTTCAATGCTTGCAATAGGGTCATCCATATAATCAATAAAGAAAAGAAAAGCCCATAAATCATCTCCCATGGACATATTAATTGTGTTAAAAAGATAATGTCTTTCAGAAACCTAACCTGCTTTCTTTGTTATTATCAGGATCCAAGCCATGTGGTGAGTCCAGTTATTGATATAATCAATTTGGACACCTTTGCTTATGTGGCAGCTTCTTCAGATCTAAGAGGAGGTGAGTTTGTAATCAACTATAGACCTGTGATAGTTTAGACAAGCATATGAACAAAAATGTATAAGAAATGCTGAGTGGTATGGAATTAATAAAGCCATTCTGCTAAGTATTGTTCACAATGTGTTAACTCAGTCCACAGCTTGGATTGGCTAATATATTTTCCCCAATTCACATAAACAAAAAATAAAACCATGGTTATAGTTTCTCAGATCATTCACATAATAGGAAATTATACCTATCAATTATAGACGAAAGTCTGGTGTTAATGCCAATGCCAAAATAATATTTTTAAACATTGTATTTGTTCTGAGGTTCGTAGCTACAGATTCTTGGTTTAGTAAAATAAACAATAATTAATGAAAGATTTCCAGAATTGTTTTTACTTCCAAAAAATGGAAAAGCAAACCAGCCTCATATACTAAGATATTAATTCTTTTAATTGACCAGTATATTTTAGTCAGGATTTTTTTTTGGGATTTTAATTTTTCTTAGCAAACCTTTAGTTTAAGATCATTGCTAATTTAAATTAGCACACATCACATCAGAATTATTATAAATATTTCTTGTAGTAGACAACCACAATAATCTTCAATTAAGACAAAGCAGAAATATAAAATGGTCTTATTGTTTTTTTTAAAATCTAAAATATTTCCTCACAAATTTAACAGAAAGTGAAAAAATATAAGATACAAAAACATCAAAAAGAAATTATATGAAATATTACTAAAACAATCAGAATACAGAAAAGGGGAATCTAAATATGCCACTTATTAATGAAAGGTTAATCAGATTTTTGATCACCTTAGGAGGAATAGATGGGTGGATGGAAGGTAGATAGACAGACAGACATGAAAATTCTATCACATTACAAAATATAAAATCTATGCCACATAAAAACATATAGATCATTTTTTATTAGTACATGAAATTGCCTTTTAAAAAATGGGTAAATCACACACAACTTGAATCCAGTCTTCAATATCAGAATATTACTACTTTTTCAATTTCTCAAACTAAATTTGTTAGCAACATCCCAAGTCCATTACAGCTGCATTCAGGAAGCTGAACTCACTTGGTGAGATCAATAAACAAATCAATAGTCAAATTGATTCCCACAACTTGAGAACCACAAAAAAAAAAGACCACAAAAAGAGAACACCACTGGTTATCATGTACAATTGACCATTCAAGGCTTTATTAATGAGCTACAACACAAACGGGACAATGTATTTTTAAGACACTGATTGGGAAGCCCCTACTTGCATTCAAACCACCATCCAACTGAAAGTAGATTCTTACAATCAACCATAAACAACAGGAATATGATGCTAACTGGTGCTTTTTTTTGTTTAAAAAAAAAAAAAGTGCCGGAACTCACACATGTCATACAACCTGCCTTGCCTACTCTACAAGGTTCCATCCAAAAAAGGTGCTGGAACTCCATTCTGGGCGTTCTATGATTAAAAAAAGCCCTGATGCTAACATAGGAATCAGATCCCAGAGCAAATTAGTTATATTATTGGTCCTAACAATTTTATCCCCCAAGAAACTATAGATGGTATTCCTCTAATATGATATAGGCCATCATGTACCAGCAATGCTTTTCTGCACAGAAGTATTAACAGACACAAGTTTGACATAAGGACTCACAATATGAAAAAAGTCAACAGAGCATTTTAATTTAATTTAACTTAATTTAATTTATTCTATTCAACTTCAAACTGATTCTTGGAAGTATAAATAAAAAATATAGGATCAAAAATAATTCTCTTCTGTTCTGTCTGTTTCTTGGAGTCTGCCTGGACATGTCCTTGCAGATTTCTTGGCAAGATTTTTCAGAAGTGGTTTGCCATTGCCATTGCCATTGCCTCCTTCCTAGGAGAAAAAATGAGTGGCTTATGGTCACCCAACTGCCTTTGTGTCCAAAGCAGATCTCCTAGTCTTGGTCTTGGTCTCCTAGTTCTAACCTGATGCCTTAATCCAGGGGTGCCCAACCCCGGGGCCATGGACCAGTACCAGTCCATGGCCTGTTAGGAATTGCACATCTGGAGGTGATCAGTGGACGAGTGAGCAAAACTGCAACCATCCCACCCCCTGGTCTATGGAAAAGTGTCTTCTATGAAACTTGTCCTTGGTGCCAAAAAGTTTGGGGGCCGCTGCCTTAACCACTATTAAATAAACTACCAGAGCTGGTGGAAAATCTAGCTAATTGCACCTATCCCAATCTGACAACTCTTCAGCCACCCTAACCCAAGGAGAACAGCCAGGTCCTTTCTAGAATGCCAGCAGGATGGGACCAATACAAATATTAGGGAATCTCATTCAGGTTCCAGGAAAGACTTCCGGTCCTGCACAGTAGCGACTGGTCACAGGCTTGCGTACCACCGTGGCTAATTTTCGTCCTGCCTGGAGACCTTTGCCAGAGAGGTGGCAAAGAAAGAAGGGTGGCCCGGTGACTCTGGAATGACGGTGGTTGTTCCGTTCATCTTGGGGAAAGCCTTCTAACCCAACAGGAGAAAGGCTGTATTTCATCAATCAGCCCAAGCTACTTGCGACCGAAAACATCAGAGAGAAAGGAAGTGATAAGAGAAGCAAAGAAGGAGAAAAAGAAAAAGATTTTCAAGAAACATGGAAAGGCAAAAGCCTCATATAAAGACACTTTATTGAATTTACTTCTTATACCTATTTCTTATACCTACAATTTACTTCTTATACCAACAGTCATGAACATATGGAAAAACATTTTGATTCAGAAAAACACATTGATCAAGAAAGATACTGGTCAAAGGAAAAAGATCAAAGTAAAAATTAAGAAAATAGATGACGGGATCTACCAGAGAGAGAAAAAATATATATATACATACATACATACATACATGAAAACATTTGTTTGAATATGGTTAAAGAAATAGAAAAGATTCTGAATACATATGTCATTCTAAGAGGGATGAATTCCTTAAATAATACTGTATGCTTTTCCCCCCTTTTTATTTTATTTCTTGATATAAATATTATAATACTGTTGAAATGGCTTAGATCAGTGGTTCTCAACCTTTCTAATGCCGTGACCCCATAATACAGTTCCCCATGTTGTGGTGACCCCCAACCACTTATATATCACTGGGTGCCAGGGGCGTGGCCAAAGAAAAGGGGGAAAAAATGGCGGACAGCCTTGTTTGGCGACCCCGTGAAATGGTCGTTCGACCCCAAATAGGGTCCCAACCCACAGGTTGAGAACCACTGGCTTAGATGAAGGAAATGTTTTAGATAATTAAATGTGTTTGAATTTAGGGAAATTATAATGTATAAAAAAGAGGAAAATGTTTTGAATAAGAGTTAAAGGATTAGATGATTAGACACATTAAATGGAATATTTAAAGATTAAATATATTTTTAATTATGGTTAAAAAGAATAAGAAATTTTGGGAATGAAGTATTTTACTTTTTATGTTTCTTTACTCTTGCTCTCTTTTCCTTTTGTTTACTGTTTTTACCTATTCTTTAAGAAATGTAAAAGTGTTGAGATGGTTTATATGGGAAAAATGGATTAAAATCTTTAAATGTAATTAACTGTTGAGAAAATCTTAACCAGCAAGAATACTTTGAACTTTATGGGAGAAACAAATCTAAATAAGGACTGTAACAGGAAATAAGATGAGGCAACCAGAATGATTAGATAAAAAAATATTATATTGATGTGATCATTATTTCTAGGAATATTGGGACAAAATCATATATGTAACTTATTTATCAAAATAATAAGAACTGTATTAACTCAAGGTTTGCAAAGAAGACATTTTGGGGAAAGGGGGAAATCAACTAAATGTACTATGTGGATTATGGATTATAGAAACCAATTGTTAATGATTTTTCTTTACAAATGTAAACCCAGCAAACACACTGTTTACCAACTATTAAGTGATTTATGTTTTAAAAAATCAGTAAAATATATGGGGGGGGAAGAGTTCAGGTTCCACAGAGATGGACCACTTCTGGGTTTCCAAATAGATGGCAAATGAGTTTAGCCTACCAATTCTTTCAGATCACATCACATGGAACATAGGCACTCTATAAAGTAATCAGTCATAGCCAGCACCTTGAATCACACCTGGAAACATATCAGTAACCAGAACTCTGCTCCCATACCAGCAGTGTCATATGGGCCTACCAAGACTTATCCCTCACTGCACATACTGCTGGACCATTTGAAACCATTCCACATAGAGTGCATAGCAGTAGTTGAGCCATGAAATGACTGGTATATGAGTGACTGAAGGACCTCCTGCTCTAAGAAAGAGCACAATTGGTACATCAAAAGATACAGATGAAGCTGTGAAGATGTGGAACAGGAGCTGTGAGTTCAGGAATATTCTAAGATTGAACACCATTCTTAAATGGGGAAGTTGACCCCATCCAAGGCTGAAGATGGAATATCTTCAGTTCTAGGTGGTAGGTAAAATCAGAAGATGGTTCTTTTGGTACAGGCACTGAGACAGAAACTTACCAACCTAACTTAGCCAGCCTCCCAGAACACTCTATCACAGATCTTAAATTAGCTATTTTGGAAAATTAGTGGAGAGACTGCTGAATATGAAAACAGCATTATAACAAACAATGTTTTTAATGCATTACAAATTGTTAATTGATGACACACTTGTAATCTTCCCTGCATCTGCATAACCATTTGTCAGGTAAGTTTAATAGATTTTGTTATTCCAAAGAGTTGCTACCAAACTCCTGGTTGTAATTATTGTAACCTAAAAAATGCTTGAAAGTTTATGATTGCAACTAGTTGACAACTATTCCTTCATCTCTTTCTGTGCATTTCATATTTAGGATTTGACTGGAGTCTTCATTTTAAATGGGAGCAACTTTCTCTAGAGCAAAAAGCCAAGAGATCAGATCCCACAGAGCCCATCAAGTAAGTAACTGGATTCAAAATAGGAAACTCAAAGCAGCCACGAGCTGTTTTGAAGTGGGAAAGGGCAAACAGCATATTGAGGAGAGTGCCAGCTAACTGTTGACCCTAAGCATGTTAAGCTATTGGAAATCTTTTCTGAAACTTCAGTTGAAGTAAGTCTAAATACACCTATTTAACCATTGTTTCATAAGAATGTTTTCGATTACCAATAGTTTTACTAATTAGAAGCAAAAAAAGCATACAAAACATGATGGGGTACATGCAGTTCCTTTTAGATGCACCATAAAAAATTAGTACCGAGCTGACATCCCTATCTGAGCCTTTGAGCAGAGTATGGGAGCTTACCCTGACACTTCACCCTCAGGTTCCTCTTTGTTCAATAGGTAGAGCTCTCAATTAATTAAGTTCAAGCTCTTTCATATCTCCAGATGCCTATTCAGACATTCAGCTCATGTGGGCAGGGATATTAGATTCAAAACTTGAGTACCCTTGACCTCCTTTTAGCTCTTGCACGTTAAATATAATCTCTTTTAGCCCATTGTGTATGTGATAAAACTGAGAAGTCCAGCCCTCTAATTGCATCATGGAAATATCCCACTACTATGAGCTTTCAGAACTGGGAAATTTTATTCCCTATTTCCCACCAGGAAAACTCTTTAAATTCCTAATTTAGTACAAATAAAATTGAGGCATAGCATCTCTGTATGCAAGCAGCAATCTTAGTAGAAAGAACTAGCAAGAACTTTTTTTCAAGAGCTGCTCTTTCAATCAGTCAAGAGTGCAAGAAAGCATATTTAGGATTTTTTTCTCTTCTAACAGTAAGAGCAGTTGGACAGTGGAACCAATTATTCAAAGAGGTGGTGAGAGTCAACAGCTACAGGCTAGACAGCATCTATTGGGGAGGCTTTAAATTGGATTCTTCACTGAATAGGGATTTGGATTCAGTGGACTCTGTGCCCCTTTCCAACTCTATAATTTTTGGTGCTTCAGGCAGGCTGATGCCTTCCCAACAAGACTTAACTCTTCATTAACCACAGAATAAAAACTTCTCTTTGTATTCTGATCATTTTTGCTGACCTTGATTCTAGTAGCTGGAGTGATAGAATATCTTCTGTCACCTTAACAGTATTCTCTTAACTGAAAATTGTCCAGGGCAAAAATACAAACACACATTATGACTTTACTGTGATTGTTAACCAGTACAGTTTTCTTCCTTATATACATTTAACAATCATTTGTTCAACAACTACTCAGAGATACTCCAGGATCCTGGTAGGATCTTCAATTGAAAGTTGAATACCACAAGACATAGAATTCCTGGCTTTGGACAACAGGACCACATACCATTGCTGTAAGCAAAAGATCCTCTAAGGGGGATTGTCTTTCCACGGCTCCTGCTCTCTCCTCTATATTTTGACATATCAATGGACGTGGGAGTCCCACCCGTGACTGGCTTAACAACCGCAAACTTGCTTAACCACAGCAATGGGGGATGCCATTTCAGATTTGCAATTGCTAAGCAATGTAGTCACTTGATATTGCTCTTTAAAACTGCATGGCTTAATTATGGAAATTCTGGTCCCAATTACCATCATGAACTGAGGACTATCTCAGAGCACTTCCTCCTCCATAACTTGTCAAGTTAGTGTATTGCTCCCTTTATACTTCTTCAAACTTTCTTGTAACAATTAAAATTAATTCATCCTGGAATTAGACCCTTGGACCACATATAGTTTCTACATGGTTTTCTTTTTATTCCTGTGAAGCTATCAAGTGAAAGGTTCTACTACCTTAAAAAAAACAAATTTTACTTGAGATAAAGTATCAGTTGAAAGCCCAGCAAATTATCAAATATAAATTGTGTATATGTGAGTGACTAAATATAAACAGGTGTATATGCTTGTATACATGAACACACACACCTTCGCACACACACACAGAGAGAAAAGTGGCATGTCTGAACTTTTCTATTAATCACAGTTTAATCATTAGAATGCTGAAAAGTCCCTTTGAGACATCAAACCAGGTGACTGAAGAAAGTATGTACCCTATGAAGTGGCTGGTGTGGTAGGCACAGAGCACAATTTTCTGTGCATCTTATCTTACTCAGTATTCCTTTTTTACCTTTGTTCTCAGCTAAGAGGGGGGAAATAACTCCTGTGAAATAATGCCTCTTAATAGTCCCCAAGTGCTAAATGCATTTTTAGCTTGTAAACCTGTAATCAGGGCTGCAGACTTCAGGCTAGTAGGGGTTGTGCTGATAAATGCATTAGCCACACATTGCACACTGGGGAAAAGTTATGACAGGAAAATACCAAAAGTTTCTGAAACATTACTTAGGTCCATCAATATTTGTACGCAGTGGGATATTTTTTGGATCACAGACTGCATTTAGTCAGGCCTAATGTTTTAGGAACCAAACATCCATCATGGGACAAACTAAAGCAATGCTTGGGCAAGATGGGCACTGCCCTCTCATATAACTCCTAAAAATTCACTTTCATGGACATCTGAAGATCCTCATAAACTTCAGTTACATTCATACAAAGAAAATTCAACATTTTCATAAACAATTTAAATGAGGGAATAGAAGGGGAACTCATCAAATTTGCAGATGACACCAAGCTGGCAGAAATAGCCAACACTCGAGAAGATAGGCTTAAGATACAGAAGGATCTCAACAGACTTGAACACTGGGCCCTATCTAACAAAAATAAATTCAATGGTGAAAAAAGTAAGATTCTACATTTAGGCAAGAAAATCCAAATGTACAGGTATAGAATAGTCAGAACTTGGCTCAATAGCAGTGACTGCGAGAGGAATTTCAGAGTTCTAGTGGACAATCACTTAAAATATGAGCCAGCAGTGTGTGGGAGCTGCCAAAAAAGCCAGCACAGTGCTAGGCTGCATTAACAGAGGGACTGAATCAAGTTCATATGAAGTGTACCACTTTATAATGCCTTGGTAAGACCACACTTGGAATATTGCATCCAGTTTTGGTCACCACAATATAAAAAAGATATTAACATTCTAGAAGGTATAGAAAAGACCAACAAAGATGGTTGGGGGCTGGAAGTTAAAACATATGAAGAACAGTTGCAGTAATTGGGTAGGTCTATTCTAATGAAAAGAAGGATAAAGAATGATATGATAGCAGTGTTCCAATATTTAACGGGTTGCTGCAAAGAAAATGGGGGTCAACCTATTTTCCAAAGCACCAGAAGGCAAGACAAGAAGCAATGGATGGAAACTAATCAAGAAGCAACCTAGAACTAAGGAGAAATTTCCTGATAATGCAAACAATTAATCAGTGGAATGGCTTGCCTTCAGACATGTTAAGTGTTACATCACTGGAGGTTTTTAAGACGAGATTGGACAGCCATTTGTCTACAATGATATAGGGTCTCCTGCATGAGTACAGGGCTGGAATAGAAGACCTCCAAGATCCCTTCCAACTCTGTTATTCTGTTTGCTCTCTTATGTTCCTTTCTTGCACATGTTAGGAAACCCAGTTAGACATGTGTTCTGGTTGAGTTGAAACCTTGTCCTAAGTCAAGAGATGTTTAATATCAATTTACTGATATAAATCAGTGATTCGGTTTACTGCTTAATTAGATATTATATTGTAATATCAAAACCAAGCAAAACACGTTATGGCTTAATATGGCTTGTGACCCATAACAAGGTGAACCTTCTGACACAAACACACAAAGCTCATTCTCCATACAGTGGTTGGACTTGGGGAAGTCTCCCATTGCCTTTGATGTCAGGTCTCAGAGTACTCTTTTAGCACCCTGGGCTGTAAATGGAAAATCCCAAAAGACACATCTTGCAAAGAACTGATTAGGAAGAACACTTGGCTATTGACAAATACTCTGTTTCAAAGAGGAAATTGTAGCCCAGCAACTTAAGGCAACAGAATTTCAGTTCTTATTGTTCCATTTTTTTTTTCAATATGAAAGGGAGGAGGCTTGCTTTTTCTCTGTAGGAAGAGCTTCTGAACCTGTTAATGCTTTGGAAATAACTACTTTTTAACTATCTGAGAAGCAGCTTCTATGCTAGTCTTTTCCAACTCTCAGTGTCACAAGGGGCAGGAATATTTTTGAATGGGAATCTAATTTGTTCTTCCTTGCCAGCAATACAATGCTACAACCTTCATGGAGTTTTGATGGGGATCATGATCTTGCCAACTGCAAATCATTCAACAGTAACATCCTCTCCCTTCAGTGCAATTAAATTTAAAAAGTGTCATTGGCCATACGTACATCAAAGAATAAAGTAACATTGGTTAGTTTCTCTCTCTGCATCTATTTCACATACCTAATACTTTCTACAAAAGAGTTGAAATGAGATTTTCTTTTCTTTCCCAACTTTCAGGACTCCTATCATTGCTGGAGGGCTTTTTGTAATTGACAAGGCCTGGTTCAACCATCTGGGAAAATATGATGCTGCAATGGACATCTGGGGTGGGGAAAATTTTGGTAAGTCACTGCTACTTTGCAGTTATTAGCAAAGGCTTTTTAAAGATTTAAGGGGGGAGTTTTGCAAACCTGAATACGAGAGCCTATATAATATAATGGTTAAACGTTGGACTGGCAACAGAGAGTCTAAGATTCTGTTTTACCCTCTGCCCTTGTCTGCATAAACACACTAGGTTTAAGGAATGTAGACTTGGCTTGGGAATGGGGAAGGTATGAGTGACTTCATTAGCAGAAGACTTTCAGAAATATTACTCAGTCATGAGAAAGAAGAAAGTGTGAGAAAGAAAATCAAAATAGCCCCACTTTGATTTTATTTGGTATAAGATGAGGCAGGAAGAAACTGACAGGCTTTTAAGATTTTGTTATTCTGCCTTTCAATTATAACAGATATGTCAAACACAAGGCCCTGGGGCTGGATGTGGCCCACAAAGTGGTTTCATGTGGCCCACGAAGTGATCCTGGAAACAGTGAGGGAATGGCCCCCTCTACCTTGGCCCTGACCCAGGCCGGCCGGGAGCCAATGTACAATTTTGTGGTGACCATCTATGTTGAAACACATTCAGTCTTAGCTCCACAAGGCTGTCTGGAAACAATGAGGAACCAGCCCCTGCTGCATTGGCCCGCCCCCTGGGTGCATGCTGGGGAGGTGTCACCCTTTGTGAGGAATGAAGAAATGCACCAGCGCCTGGAAGTGGCCAGCAAATGGCCCTCGCCTTCTTCACCTATCCGGCTTGATGAGCTCCGGGGGAGGGGTTTTGGCAGGCAGCAGGGTGCTCTCTTCACAGCGCCAAGAGGCTGAGCTGGGCAGCGCGAATCCAAAAAGAAGTGTGAGGCCGCCCAGCTCCCAGCCTGCCTGGTTTCGGCAGGCAGCAGGGCGCTCTCCTCACAGCGCCAAGAGCTGAGCTGGGCGGCGCGCATCTGATGAGAAGTGCAATGCTGCCTAGCCCCCAGTCTGCCCAGTTTCAGCAGTCAGCAAGGTGCAAAGCTGACAAGCTTCACACCGCCCGGCTCAACCTCTCAGCGCTGTGAGGAGAGCGCCCTGCTGCCTGCCGAAACCAGGCAGGCTGAGGCCTGGGCGGCATTGGGCAGGTAATGTTGACTCTCATGGTGCTCATGGCATCCCCACTCCCAGAGTCCACCAAGCCAGATATGTGAAGTAGGTGAGGGCCATGTGCTGGCTTCTTTCAGGTGCTTTTCTTCATTCCTCACGAAGGGTGACACCTCCCCAGCTGCGTTTCTTACCTGTTTTTCTCCCTCCCTCTACTCAAATATTTTCCCACCACTCTGTATTTAGGAAGGAAGGAAAGAAGGAGAGGGAAGGTCTGAGGGAACTCCAGCCTTAGTCCTGCCCTGCTGCCTTTTCACCATCCCCTTGCCCCCTCCTCCTGGCCTATCCTGGGGGTCTCCCATCCTATTGCTAAGGAAGCTTTGGATAAAAAGCCAGGTCTATTCCCATGGGAGAGGGAATAGACCTCCCTCTGACTTTGCCCTCATACCCATCATGAGCAACCTGGGTAAGGAGAGCAAGCACAGCAGCAGCCTTGAGGAGGAGATAAGTGCAGCTGGGCACCCTCTTAGGAAAGTGGGTCTGGGCTTGGTGCCGCAGGTGCTTGAGAGCCAGGCTGGGCATTTGACCTCTGCTGCCCAGGGCTCCGGGCAGCCTGCACCACCATCCAGCCCCCCCATGACCTGAGAGGAACAGTGAGGCTCCTCCAGTGGACCATGCCTTGGCACTTGCCCTGGTCCTACCCCCTTCTGCCAGAGACCCTCAGATCTGTCCCCTCCTGCCCAGGTCCCCAGAGGCACCCTTGATGCGAACGATGTAGAGCTGGCCATGCCCACCCAGTAGGCAACAACCACTCCATCCACGCCCACCCAGTAGGCTGCATTCACCCTGGCCACACCCACCGCCCCCCCAAGGGCAACCGCAATCCTGATGTGGCCCTCAGTGAAATTGAGTTTGACACCCTTGAATTATAAAGAACACTCCTGGAATTTCTGTCATGTTTGTTTCTTGACTATGCCTAAATGTCTATGGAGGTTCTCAGTCATCCAGGTCATGGTTGTCCCAAAGGTGCTTTTTCAGGAGGTAACTGGACGTTCTTGTTTTTGTTTTTTTGAAGATGTTTTACTTCTCATCCAAGAAGTTTCTTCAGCTCTGACTGGATGGTGGGGAATGGAAGAATTTATAAAGAGAGAGCTGAAGAAGCTTCTTGGATGAGAAGCGAAGCATTTTTACAGAAAAACAAAGTCCTGTTGCCTCCTGAAAAAGCACCTTTGGGACAACCATGACCTGGATGACTGAGAACCTCCATAGACATTTAGCGATGCACTTTGGGATGAACACTCTTCGAATGGTGAGGGAGTATGAACGGATTTCCAGAAAACATTGCAGACTACAGGAACCATTTGAGTTTCAGTTTGAGATTCAGACAGCATAGACTCATCCCCAATATGAAGTGACACAGTGCAGAAAATGTCCTGCAGCCAAAAAGGCTCCATATACATTTGCACTACCCAGATGACCCTGAGGACACAGGTAAACCTCCAAATGGCCTCAACAACTCTCTGAAAGAATGCAAATGCCAGCTGTCTGCAAGGAATATAAATAAATTTTTCCATTCCCCACCATCCAGTCAGAGATGAAGAAGCTTCTTAGTTGAGAAGCAAAACATCTTCAAAGAAAAACAAGAAAGTCCAGCTTCTTCCTGAAAAAGCACCTTTGGGTTGACTATGCCTACTTCAAAGGGCCAACACAGAGTGACTTGGGCCAGGTATCTATCTCAGCCCAAATCACTTTGTAGGATTATTGTTCTGGGAAAAATGGGAGAAGGGAGGACTATTGCTGCTAACTATTCCACTTTGCATTCCTGAAAAAAAAACAGGATATAAATCTGACCCATAAATACCACTCAAAAATCTCTTCCTCTTCATAATGAGGGATTTGAATGTTTAGATTGCTCATGAATTCTATGTTCTATGGTTTTTAGTTCTACTGTTGATGAAATATTTTTGTTTTTAACCCACCATACACATTTGGAAAATTATGTGCCACTCAGAATCAGTGTGATTGGAGACGTTTATCAGCCCTGTAGATCAATCAGTCAATTCCAGTTATGATTTGCAAGAATTCAAAATGAACAAACTGTTACAGTGCCTTTGTTAAAATACTACAATGCATTAAAAGTTCCATTATTGCCAACTCTTCGTTTGTAATACATTGACAAAATATTTTGCCACCATCAGCAGCTTTATACTGACTACTCATGTAAGAGGCAGACAATCTTTTAGGAAGAAGACAGGTGAATGAAAAAAAATTTGATGCTCATGGTACTGCCACAACAGCAGAAGCTGAGACATTTTAAGAGAAAGAAATGGGCCATAACAGAGTTAATTCAAAAGGTCTGGTAGGAGTTTCCCATGGGATGCCTCTAATTAGTGCAGTATATTGTACTAACATGTCACCTGACAAAACTAGCTCCCCTTCTGGGGAGAACATTTTATTGTGGCCATGGGAGGGTGGATTCTTAGCATCTGTTGTGTTTCTGGATGGTTTATGCTCTGACAGCATTTTTTTTGTTTGTTTTTAACTTCCTGGTACCCCCAGGGAGCACTTCAACATCTAAGTCAATAAAGGGAAGTTAGAAGCAATAAATCTAGGCAAGAGCTTGACTGGGTGCATCGTGTTCCAGGGCGGCAATATTGCTTCTTCTTTCAATCTGCTCCTTTCTTCTGACTTCCGGCTTACAGGAATCAAACAAGCGTGCCAGCCCACATTGCTCAATCCATTTGGCTTAGCTAAAAAATTCCTGTTGGTTTCCAAGCTGCATTCAAGGTTCTAGCATTAGACTAGTTTTTAGAAAGCCCTCAGTGACTCGATGTCTTTGATGTCTTCAGGACAAATCTTCCATATGTCCTTCCCCATATACTTCAGCTGACAGCTGGGGCATTAACATCAGATCTTTTAGCAGGCAAGTAGCTGCTGTGAAAAGCCTTTGTAGGATGGGCTGTACCCAATTACCAATAGAGCAGAAAAATCTTCAGCTTAGGTGGCTCACAAAAACATGGTTCTTTCAAAAACATTTCATTAAGAATTAATGGTCCTATATTTTATTTTGGTTTTATAGTGAAGTGGCTTTAGAACTTGCTATTTGTTTGGATTTTTAAGACTATTTTAAATATCTATAGCATTTTCAGCTTGTTTCAAATATTGTTTGCTACCCAGGGAACCTTTTAAGCGCTAGCTGAAATATAGGGCTTTTAAAATAAACAAGCAATCTTTTGCAATTCTGTAGTGTAGAGCAGAGGTACATGGCTTGAAGTGCAATGTCTCAAGTTCCCAAAGTGGGTGCCGTATTATAATTGCCAATATGATATAATGAGAAAATGATGAGATAAGTGCCTTAACATTAAGAAAGGACAGCACTTAGGTTCTAAAGTCCATAAAGTGCTTTGAAATGATCATGATACCTGTTGGCACGTCCATAAAGAATCTATGTCTTGTTGTGGGTTTACATAATAGCTGCACAATTTCAGGATATTTGTTTCAGTTATTAATAACATGTTCTTGTCTGCTCGGATGTGCTGTGTTATACTCTATCAATGTTTCCTTAATTCAGACATGCATTTTCCTTGTAAATTGTGGGAAAGAGGCAGCTTCTTTATAGAGGTGCTGAATGATGTGGAGTGCATGCCCACACCCATTCCATAGCATCTTTTGCACTTTGAAACTGCACATCCCTATGTAATATACAGTATAATCATATTTAAGATTTGTTGTTTGCTTCTAACTCAAGAAAGAAATACACCAGTGATTGCAGATAAAACATAAAAATAATAAACCTAGATGAATAGTGGTTGGTATCACCAGCAAGAAAAGCCAAGTGGGAGTGGCTGGACAGCAAATGCCAGTATCCTCACTCAATCCCAGCAAGTGCAAAGTCAAAAAAGGCTTTGCTGTATTCTTGGAGAGGAAAGCTATGGCAAATCTAGACAGCATACTAAAAAGCAGAGACATCACCCTGCCAACAAAAGTACATATAATCAAGGCCATGGTTTTCCCAGTTGCAATGTATGGCTGTGAAAGTTGGATCCTAAGAAAGGCGGAGCGCAAAAGAATTGAGGCCTTTGAACTATGGTGCTGGAGAAGACTTCTGCGAATCCCCTGGACTGCAAGGTGATCAAACTGGTCAGTCCTAGAGGAGATCAACCCTGACTGCTCTTTAGAAGACCAGATCCTGAAGTTGAAACTCAACTACTTTGGCCACCTAATGAGAAGGAAGGACTCATTGGAGAAGGGCCTAATGCTGGGAAAGATTGAGGGCAGTAGAAAAAGGGGACGGCAGAGAATGAGGTGGCTGGATGGAGTCACTGAAGCAGTAGGCATGAGCTTAAATGGACTCCAAAAGATGGTAGAGGACAGGAAGGCCTGGAGGAACGTTGTCCATGGGGTTGTGATGGGTCGGACATGACTTCACAACTAACAACAACAACAACAACTTCTGAACTGTGATTCCAACTCCAGTAGAAGATCAGAAAAAGAGAGGATAGCTGAACGTTATGAACTATACCATTACATTTGTCCTTTCTTGATCAAAGAGAAAGTTAACGTAATAGGAAGAGATATATCCTGGATCAGATCATGGCCATTTTAATCTAGCTCAACCAGGTGCTGCAAGGAGCACATACACCTAATCCTACTTGTTCTCCAAGATAGTGCTAATATGTAGTCACCATGCCTAGCAGTCATTAATGAATTTTGGATTACAGTAAGATTGAAAAAATGGTGCCATCAATTGGGATCTTGGGTTGGCTGTATAACAAATTTGTTTTGCCTCTGTCCTCTAAGAAATTCCCAGACTATTGAAGGGGAAAGGTAGTGACATTGGTTACTGTTGTGCTTGCCTAGAAGGGTTGATCAAATTGTGTGGGTTATACTGCTGCTTTTATTTGTAACTGCAAGAATGCTACAGAGCAGAGGAAGCTAACAGTGCTACAGCTTTGAAAAAGGAAGGGAGGCATGGAGATAGCAGAGAAACAGATCTTAAGCTGGCACTAATACTTTGACACCTCAAGGGAGTGTGGGTAGTAAGGAAAAATAATCCTTGTCTTCAGAGATGCAACAGCTTAGTGAGCCAGTGAAACAGATGCTCCTGTTCTGTGACAATCTCATCCATTGTCTCCCTCTCCCCTTGAAGCTTTGTACATTAGTGTGTCATTATACAGTACATATTTTTTCTTAATAAGTGGGGATTGTATATACAAATAGTTGTGGGCCATGCTGCTTCTTGTTGAATTGCCCTTTTCCACTGAAATTTCCTCTCACCAAGGAAATCAAGGTCATATAATCAAGCAGTCCCCAAAGTATCAGTGCTAAAAATGGAAAGCCAAACTAGTTTTGTGTCTTTGTGTAATGGAACTGGCCCAATAGTTAGTCTGAAAAAAAAAATGAAAGTTTGCTGGAATTATGCAGGAAGAACATGCATGCAGATAACAGGCCTGAGGAACAATGCAAAACAATGAAGCAAATCTAAGAAGGTAAAATATAGCCCTCTTTTTGAAAAATAAATAAATAACAGAAGGTACAGTAGTCTTATGTTGAAGGCTTCTGTAAATTTAAAGCAAAATCCTATAAGAAAATTCAAGTTTCCCATCTGGACAAGACAGCAAAAAGTATTGACAATTTTCAGCTTTGGTATTGGAGAAGATTGAGTAAGATAGAAGGAAAGCGATAGCATGATCATCAGCAAGGTGTGTGGACTCAGTGATAGTGGCAATAGACACACTGTTGAAAGACCTGAAGGACCAGGTTAGAGACAGATCAACCTGGAGAAGGACTATCTGTGTGGTTGCTAAAAGTCAGCATCAACTTGGTGGCACAAAATCATTCAATCAATCAATCAAAGTTCCCTGCCAGTTTTAATAACTATACTAATATAGCCTGTTTCCTAATTTACAGAGAATGCATCTTCTCTTTAAAGCAGTGGTGGTGAACCCATGGCACGGTGCCAGAGGCGGCACTCAGAGCCCTCTCTGTGGGCACGCGTGCCATTGCCCAGTCCTAGGCCTTCAGTGGGCTTTATAAAATCTTTTCACTTTAGGCCTCCGCTGCCGTGTGCAAAAAAAATAGGTTCAATCAATCAGTCAATTTCAACTTCTCGCTGACAAAAAAAAGATCTTGCAAAGTTGGAATTGATTGATTGAACTTTTTAGTACCATCCAGTCTGCTGTTACCACCACAGCCATGCCTACCCAATGGGCCACAACCACCCAATGGGCCACGCCCACCCAATGAGCCACATCCACCCAATGGGCCACACCCACCCAGCACCTGACAATGCATAAGTGGGTTTTGGGTTGCAGTTTGGGCACTCGGTCTCTAAAAGGTTCGCCATCACTGCTTTAAAGGCATCCTCTATTTAAAAGGCTATACAAGCCACAAGCAGTTAAAAATAAGGAATATAAAAAGGTAGAGCAGTTATGTTATGCTGCTCCATAATTGGTACTGGGATGGCAGGCTGAAAAGACAGACAGGTTACTTAGTCACAGTCATTATTATTATGTTTGTATTTGTGTAAAAATTGTATTATTTGTTCAATTTGTCTTCTCACTGTGACGAGATTCAGATAAAACTACGTTGATTGGCATTTAGCCTATAGAGAAGTATTTTCTCTTCTGGGGCTTTATAAAGAGCCACCCAGGGAATATTAAGCCAGATTTTTAACCTGCAGCAAAATTCAAAACCTCATAGGTTTTACAATGGGTAGTACCTTCTGAAAAAGAGCCCTACTCTGACTTAGTTATTAAGTGAGTGAAACAGCTTTATTTCCATAAAGTCAAGATGTACTTTGATAGATGTCAATGGGCCTTCTTACTGCTTTAACTGAAAACTGGTTACATCCCTATGGCAATTGACTTCACACAGGGGGAAATAATTGGATGAGCTGGTCTGCTTCTAGTTTTTGTCATTTTCCTATTCATAAATTCTGTCCTGATCTCCAGTCTTCATGAGCAAAATTATTTTGCTAGAATTCCTCCTTCTGTCCTTGGCAAACCTAAGCACAACTCAATACTTTGCCATCTTTTTATTGGCATTTCCCCCCTAGATCTCATTGTTACAATTATATTCATTTTGCCTCCTTGCCTGATTCTCTTTTTGTTTTTTCCAACTTCTAATAAAATCAGTATTTGTCAAGAAGGGCATGGTCCTTTGCGGGGTCCCAATAATTAGAAGAATTAGGAATTAGCATGTTTCTCTTGAGAAGTAAACTGCTAAGGGGCCTGCTTATACAGTAAACTCACTCTGGATATCATCATTTTTAATGTTATATGGAGAGTTCAAATGAATACATATCAGGCTGGTGGTAAAGAGCTTTGAAAAGCACTTAAGATGGCAGAATGCCTAGAAAAGTTCTCACTGACAGTAATGGGTTTGCATGGTTTGATGTGAGAAAAAGGGAGAAGTCAGAGATAGGCCAAAATCCCATTTGGTCCTGGACTTTAAAAAACTGAAGTTGAGTCTGTCTTTCATAGAGATCTCTTTCCGAGTGTGGATGTGTGGCGGAAGCTTGGAAATCATCCCTTGCAGTCGGGTTGGACATGTCTTCCGGAAGAAGCATCCTTACATCTTCCCAGAAGGAAATGCCAACACTTATATAAAGTAGGTTTGGGGTGGGTTTTTTCCTTTTCACATATTCTTTATTGAAAGTGAAATAGATTCTACGGAAGGTCACATGTCCCAAGCACACAACCCCATGTGGGATGTGTCAAAGTGTGGGTTTTGATACTATACAGGTAGTCCTCAGCTTACAACAGTTCATTTAGTGACCATTCAAAGTTACATCACTGAAAAAAGTGACTTATGACCATTTTTCCCACTTATGACCTATGCAGCATCCCCATGGTCACGTGATCAAAGTTCAGACGCAGGGCAATGGATTCATATTTATGACCGTTAACAGTTTCTTTGGTCATGTGATTACCTTTTGCGACCTTCTGACAAGCAATGCGGAAGCCAGATCCACTTAAGAACCCTGTTACTAACTTAACAACTGCAGTGATTTACTAAACAACAATGGCAAGGAAAGACATAAAATGGGCAAATGTTAACGTCTCACTTAGCAACAGAAATTTTGGGCTCAATTTTGGTTGTAAGTCAAGGACTACCTGTAGTTTAACCAGCACATCAGGAAGAATGAAGAATTGAAAAATAGGTTGTAGGGAAACCGCGGAAGTTCTAAAGAGGAGAACTATTAAGGAGAATAGAATGGGAGTGTCAATAATGAAAATTCTTAATAATGAAAATTTTCTTCCCCAGCAAGACTTTAAAATACGAGTAGATGTGAGTATGGTTGATGTGGTCAGCATTTGGAGGAATCTAATTTTTAAAATATTTGCTAAGAATGCTGATGAAATTATGATTGTACATTATATACATTCTTAGGTCAGTCTAAGTCATGTCTTTAAAGTGAGAGGTGGGCAGATTCTCCCAAGGGATTTCCTTCCTTCATAGAATATCTGAATTTCTTCTCATGCTGTGGTGCTCAGTGGACATGTACTATATTTTCTAATTATGGCTGCTTTGATTTATGCTAAACAGGTTGAAATGAAAAACATACCATGCACCAGAAAAATCTAACCCCATTGCTATTGACATCAGGCCTAATATGACTATTTTTTTTTTTTAATTTTCCCATTGCTCATTACCTAATTCAGCTATTCAAGGGCACTGAGCAGAGTCATTGGGAATAGTTGCTGAGTTGATTCTCTATTCAGATTACCAGAAAATCTGTCACTGTGTTTAAAAAGAGCTCCAAATATTCAGGTAAAAGGCATATGCACATGTAAAAGGCATATGCAAAAGCGGAATCACCGTGCTGACGCAAAACATTAACTTCAGTTTGGAACTTTGTGGTTCCGAATGTAAGTAAAACAATGTTGGTTGTTTTGGTGTTATTCAAAAATATTAAAATTGTGCATAAATATTTAGAGGCAGTAGTAATACCATCTCCAAGTTGTATGGAAATTCCAGGACATTTGTGCCAAGTATAGTTGTGAACTTTCTTGTTTGTTTTTCCGTAGACGGAGCAAATATATGGCATTCATTTTGAGCAGTGGCATTCCATTGCTACAGTGGAGCTACAGATGTATACTGGATTATTTTTCTCTTTTTAGAATTTATACTACTCAGCAAGTTCTCTGATCAGCTTCACATTTTAGGATTGCAAGTCTGCTTATGGATAGTTAATCAAAGCAGTAGAGCAGATGAAAAGAAATTGCAAAGAGGGAATGTAGCCTACCTGAATATACCTTGATCAAACTTTAAATGAATAAGGTGAACCTTGGAGAGCAAGGGGGAAGGGAAACAAACAGGAGACAGAATGAATAATAGAATCATCCCAGTGAAGATTTAGGAGCGCCAACTATTGGATTCCATATACTCCTTCATATATCTCTATCAGGTGCTAGACACCTATTCAAATATGTCAAGGTTGCTCTTCAGAGGAATAATTCCTATGCTTTTAAGTGCAAAATTCACACATCATTCACTGATCTTTTTGCAAAGAAATACTCTAGATATTGGGATATTCTTAAAGAACAAGGAGAGAGAGTGACAAAAACTCATCAATTATATTCATTTGTCAATGCATGCTTTGAAAACCTACCCTTTTTGCAATGTTCAAGTGTGTGGAATGAGAATATTTATTCTCTTCTTCGTTTATTACACTGCTTTCTGCCAGAATCTGGAGATTCCTTTTCTAGGCCTTTGCAAGATATGAAAATTATCTAGCCAATATATTGAACAATCTGTAATAATAATAAAAAATTGAATTGGTGTTACCTTCTGCTGATAAAGAAAATGCAAAATACAGTCTTCCTGCATTATATTGCACTACTAAGGACTTCTATCAGATTTTATATGGAAGACTTCTACTACAGTCAATCAACCTTTAATGAGTGCCATTAAAGTATAGGTGTCAGATTTACATTTCCACACTTCTGACAGAATCTGTTCCAAATCAGATCTAAAACATTGTACAGCCCTTTAATAAACAGCAGCAATGCAGTCTTTTTCCATCAGTTTATAGGCTCATTTCTTTATAATGAATCCATTTTTTTCTGGTATATTTTTTGCAGGTATCTATATGAATAGAAATTATATAATTAAACTGAGGATTTTCAATCAAATAAACCGTGAAGTTATGCACTGCCTTGGTATGAATCTTAATTTACTATCTGATAAAGTTGGATTCAGTACCAAATAAATATTGCAAAGGTACCTATAATATTTTTGGCACTCTGATGCCTTAACCTACTTTGTGATAGACAAACAGATGAATATTTCAGGCTTGTAATGATCAGATCTGTACATTCTGCTTTAGGTAGGTTCTTAGTCCAGTTATTTAGTCCATGTACCTGCAAGCATCCCTTTTGCTAAGTTTTCATTTCTCCTTTATTACAACTGGGGAAACAGTTAGGAAGCCCATAAGAAATCTAACTTACCATTTCTGAATTTGACTTACAGGTAGTCCTCAACTTACAACAGTTCATTTGGTGACTGTTCAAAATTACAACAGCACTGAAAAGAGTGACTTTTGACCATTTTTCAAAGTTACAACCTTTGTAGCATCCCCATGATCATGTGACCAAAATTCAGATGCTTGGCAACTGGTTCATACCAGTTGATTGGTATGTGATCACCTTTTGCAACCTTTTGACAAGCAAAGTCAATGGGGAAGACAGATTCACTTAACAACAGGGTTACTAACTTATCAACCACAATGATTCACTTAGCAACTGTGCCTTAACGGTTGTAAAATGGGGCAAAACTCACTTAACAAATGTCTCACTTAACAACAAAAATGTTGGGGTCAATTGTGGTTGTAAGTCAAGAACTACCTTTATTTGGACATGTGTTACTATAGTTTCCAGTTTACACATAATGGAAGCTATAGTTAATAACTGCTTCTGATTGGTCCTAGGGCAGATGTATTCATAATGTACCTCTAAACAAATATATGTCTTTAAGAACTGAACTCTATCACTGGTGATTTTTTTTTTCATTTAGATCTCTCATGAAAATGAACTGCTGCTTTCCCTCGTCCTTATCCTTGCTGTTTTTTTTTATTAGAAGCATCAAATTTAAACTCTTTCATGAAAGCTTTTCTTGTTTCTCCTTCCTTTTTAAAATGTCTTTTCTTAGAAACACCAAGCGCACAGCAGAAGTGTGGATGGATGAATACAAGCAATACTATTATGCAGCCCGGCCTGCAGCTCAAGGGAGACCATATGGAGAGTAAGTGGCCCCCTGGCAGTGAAGGAAAACAGAAAGAGACTCAATTGCTTGATATGGTAGAACCTCATTATTGTTTTATTGGAGCATCGTCCAGCTGTTGGGATGCATGCTTTTTGTTTCTCTGGGAACAGTTAATTAGATGTTAATAGCAAACAGATGCTGCAAGGATATAAGTATAAAGTCCTAGTTGTTATTTGTGGAGAAGTGGGGGGGGGGATGGAGAGCTTATATAAAAGCCCATTGGCCGATCACATTTAAAATATTGGTTTGTTCATGAATGAAAATAAATGGGCTCATCTCCTCCTCGTTTCTCATGTTTGAAATTGTCTCAGATAAATTCCAAGGTGATTTCTCCTTTTCATAGCTGTTTGGTTGGTCCAGGAGAAACAGAATCGGCTATCCTCACTAATGAGCAAAAGCAAATAAACACTTCCTCTTGCAACAAAGTCTAAACCCATACAATATAAGATATATGAGGCAGTCTGAATCCTTGTTTCCCTATTTGCCCCTAAAGCAAATGTTTTAACATTGGCTCAGAACTGGTGATGAAATTTATTTTATTTCCAGCTACCATTTACCTTCTTTTTTGTTTTTATTGCTCCTTTATCTAGTGCTTTAGGTTGTTTTATAACTGTATAATCTCAGGTGATGGGAAGGTGCAGGTCACCTGTATATCTTGTTCATGCTACTGCCTGGTATTCTGGGACCTTTGTTCTGTGTCAGATGAAATCTTCCCTATCACTTGTAATAATGTGTTATACATTGTAATTACTTCAGTTCAGCTAGTGCTGCTCATATCTCCGATCAAGCAGTTAGCAACAGCACCAGTTATATATCTGGAGAAAAAGAACAGTAAAGATTCCCTGGAGTGGAACTTAAATGTAGAAAGGGATGCATCATTTTCTTGGCATAAGTACAAAACTAGTGTTTGCTTTCTTTCAGGATTTTTTTTTTTTGTCCCAATATACAATCTATCGCCCTAGGATTTCCTCAAGACATCCTATCTATTAGGTCTGACTTTGCTTAGATTTTTTGAGATCAACCCAGGTCAGCTAAGTGTTTCCATCTGCTCTGATTATATATTAAAGGGGAAAGTTAAATCCAATCTGTTATGTCCCGAGCCTTGCAAACGGCTCGGGCGTTTGCAGGCAGTCCCGGGCAGGTGCAAAGCTGCCCGGGACCAGACAGGCTGTCGCCAGCGCCGTGCGCATGCGCGGGTGCTGGCGCGGGAAAAGTAACCCATTTACCCGGGAGTTGCCTATATAAGAGGCTGCGAGGCGTTTGGGCGAGGCTGAAGCCATCTTCCTGTAAGCTGAACGCTGAATAAAAGAAACTGAGAACTCCAGCTGCTTCTCGTGTCTGTTTTCCCGCCACGGACTCAACACTGGCGACGAAGGTGGGATGCCTTGCACTACCTGGAAAGGAAGAAGTGTAAGCTTACCCAAGGAGTCCTGAGCGGCGGAAGAGGAACGGCGTCGACTCGGCAGCTGCCCGCCAATCCGGTGCGCATTCGGGGGTAGGCTGGCTGATAGACCCGTCTCCTGAAGATCCGAAGATGGCGAAAATCGGAAGGCTTTCGGAATTCGACGTCTCACATCCAGAGCGGTGGGAGTCCTACGTATCCAGAATGGAGAACTACTTCAAGGCAAACCAAGTGACGGAAAGATAGCTTGAAGGCTGCCACCCTGCTTTGCGTTTGCGGCCAAGACGCCTTCGAAATCGCAGAAAACCTTGCAGCACCTGTCCCAGTAGAGTCTGTAAGCTACGCAGACCTGAAGAAGCTGCTGAAGGAGCACTTCCACCCCAAGGTGTCCGTTATCTCATGGCGCCAAACCTTCGAACAGAGGGATCAACGGTCCGGTGAGTCAGCCAAGGAATACATCGCCGCGTTACGGAAGGCCGCCAAGCCCTGCGAGTTCAAGGACCTCAAGGAACGACTGAGGGACCGATTCGTGTGCGGGTTAAGGCATCGAGAGCTACAACAGAGACTTTTCGCTAAGGAAGAATTATCCTTCCAAGACGCCTTAAGGGAAGTCACCGCAGAAGAAGCAGCAGGCGGCGCCGTCAAGAACATGCGGCCGATCAGAAGCAGTGCAGAGGGTGCGTCCGTGCACCAGGAAGACGTCCGACGAAACTCCGAGGAGGATCCGGACGAGGAAGTCGACCGTCTACACCCCGCGAAGGAAGAAAACCAGAAGGGAAGCTCTTCGGCTCCGCTCAAGTGCATCGGCTGTGGAGGTCGCCACAGGAGAACCGACTGCAAGTTCCGCTCCGCTACCTGCCGGGCATGCGGCAAACAAGGGCATATTGCAGCTGTGTGTCTGGGCCGACGAAAGGCACAACCCCAAGAAGAACGCCTGAAGGGTACCAGACTCCCCAGCCAGAATAGGGTAGGTTTTTGCGCTTCGCGAAGAAGCATCTGTAGGACAGGCACACACAAGCCCATGAAGAAAAAGCTGTCACTCAACGTGAAGCTACAAGGGGTTCCATTATCTATGGAACTAGACACAGGGTCTGCCCTTTCCATCATTTCATTGCATACATTTAGGAAGATTTGTTCCAGTAGTGGGACTAAGGCCAAGTTAAGGCCTTCTGATATTGTATTAACAGATTTTCAGAACTCAAGAGTGTGTGTTAAGGGGGAGGCCACCCTTAACGTGCAATACAAGAGTTTTGAAGGTCCACTAGACTTATTAGTAGTAGGGGGTGAACGAACGAGTCTCATAGGACTCGATTGGTTTGAGGCCCTGGGGATACACGTCACAGGACTCAACAGCTTACAAACACTCGACCTACAGGAAGTCTGCAAAGAATTTGCAGATGTTTTCAGCCCCCAGCTGGGCACATTCAAAGGACCACCTGTGTCCTTAAAGCTAGACCCCACTGTCACTCCCATTAGGATTAAAGCAAGAAGGGTCCCTTTTGCTTTAAAAAGTAAGATTGACACTGAATTAGACAAACTAATCCAACAGGGAATCCTAGAACCTGTTGATTCCAGCCCGTGGGAGACCCCCATTGTCACGCCTCTAAAGGCAAATGGGGACATTCGCATTTGTGCTGATTACAAATGCACACTCAATAAGGCATTGCAGCAACATGCCTATCCTGTTCCTGTGGTCAGTCACATCCTGGCCTCTCTCAAGGGGGGGCGTGTTTTTGCAAAGCTTGACCTAGCTCAAGCATATCAACAGCTGCCTGTTGATGATGATGCTGCCATAGCTCAGACCATTGTGACCCACAGGGGAGCCTTTAAGGTAAAAAGGCTACAGTTTGGAGTGAATGTCGCTCCTGGGATTTTCCAAAGCGTAATGGAAAACACACTACGAGGTATACCAGGGGTCTGCCCCTACTTTGACGATGTCTTGATTGCAGGAGACTCCACACACATTCTAGCTGAAAGGCTTAGGGCTGTCCTGTTAAGATTCAGGAAATCAGGCCTCAAGCTCAGAAAAGACAAATGCCAGATTGGGGTGCCTTCTACTGAATTTCTGGGATTCAAAATTGATGCTGCTGGGATTCATCCTGCTGAATCCAAACTAACTGCTATTTTAGAAGCACCCAGGCCAAAGTCTAAGGCCGAACTTCAGGCCTTCTTAGGCCTCCTGAATTTCTACAATTCTTTTCTTCCACATAAAGCTAGTGTAGCTGAGCCTCTTCACAGGCTACTAGACAAACAAGCTGTGTGGCTGTGGTCACAAGCACATGAGGCTTGCTTTAAAGAAGTCAAGGCCTTGCTCACTTCTAACAGTGTTCTTGCACATTTCAACGAGTCTCTTCCTGTGTGCATCGCTTGTGATGCGTCCCCCTACGGGGTTGGAGCTGTCCTGAGTCACCTCAGGTCTGATGGAACTCAGGTTCCTATTGCATACTACTCCAGAACACTGTCTTCTGCCGAGCGCAACTACGCTCAGATAGACAGGGAGGCTCTGGCTGTTGTTGCTGGAATTAAAAAATTCCACGATTTTCTATATGGCAGGCATTTCACGGTCTTCACTGACCATAAGCCTCTGCTGGGACTGTTTACCACACGTAAGCAGACTCCCCACATCATTTCCCCTAGAATGCTTAGGTGGTCTATTTTTTTGTCTGCATATGATTTTTCATTAATCCACAAGCCTGGGAAAGAAATGGGCCATGCTGATGGCCTCAGTAGGTTGCCTCTGCCAGTAGTAGAAGCTGACCCCGCGCCAGCTGTCAACATTCTATCAATCCAAGCCTTGCCCGAGCTCCCTCTTAGTGCCAGGGATGTTACCGCTGAAACAGGTACAGATCACACACTTTCACGTGTCCGCTCCTGGGTCCTGTCCGGGTGGCCTGAGCACTGCCCTAGTCCTGAGTTTCAGAGTTTCTGGTCCAAAAGGAACGAACTGTCCCTTTCTCAGGGTTGTCTGCTTTGGGGAAACAGAGTTGTCATTCCCACCTCAATGAGGACTAGGGTCTTAGAATCCCTCCACGAGGGTCATCCTGGCATTGTTCGTATGAAGGCTCTTGCACGAAGCCACTTGTGGTGGCCTGGTTTAGATAAAGGTATTGAGGCTAAGGTACACGCATGCCACCTGTGCCAACGATCTCGCCCAGAGATGCCCCAAGCTCCTGTGCATAGATGGGAGGAAACACAGTCCCCATGGTCTAGGGTGCACATTGACTACGCTGGGCCCTTTCAGGGCCAGTTCTTCTTGGTCCTTGTTGACAGCCATTCAAAATGGCTTGAGGTTGTGCCTGTCTCATCCACCACCACTGCAAAGACTATTCAGGTACTGAGGGGGATTTTTGCTGCACACGGGCTGCCAGATGTCATTGTGTCCGACAACGGCCCTCAATTCACCTCCTCCGAATTCCAAGCTTTCTTACAGGCAAACCTGATTCGTCATGCCACGTCTGCGCCTTTTCACCCGTCCACCAACGGTATGGCTGAACGCATGGTGCGCATCGCAAAGGACGCCTTGAAGAGACTCACCTACGGGGACTGGCATCACAGGTTGGCTGACTTTCTCCTTTCTTATCGCACCACACCGTCCACTTCTACAGGGAGAAGTCCAGCTGAACTTCGTTGGGGGCGCCAACTTACTACTAGACTTGACCGGTTGCATCCGGACAGACTGCCTTCATCTACCTCACATCCTAGGGCACCTAGACAACTACTTGTGGGTGCCCCGGTTTGGGCTCGCAATTACGGGCCTGGTCATACATGGGTCCCCGCTTCTGTTTCCAGGGTCACAGGTCCTCTCTCCTACGAGGTAACCCTGGACAACGGTCGTGTCCTACGTCGGCACATCGACCAACTCCGCTCTAGGCGGGACTTTTCTGATGAGACTCCTGGGTCTTTTCCAGGGGGGGAAGGGGGACCCTTTGGAGCAAAGGGAAGGGCAAGAGCTACTGCCCATCTCCACTGAGGGAGCCACAAACGGCCCATCCCAAGATTCCGCAATTGCTCCGAAAAGGAAGTCATGGAGCTTACCCACACAACAGGCGCTCACGCCTCCCTCCAGTCAGGGGACTTATGCCAGTAACCCAGAGCTAAGAAGGTCACAGAGAGCAAAGAAATCTCCTAAGTACCTAGAAGATTACATAACATTGCTGGCAAGGCAAAAGCCAGTAAACAGTGGGAGCACTGGGGAGCAAATTGTCGTATAAAATAAATGTTGTATGTTGGTAGTAGTTTTAGCCCGGGGGAAAGGGGTGTTATGTCCCGAGCCTTGCAAACGGCTCGGGCGTTTGCAGGCAGTCCCGGGCAGGTGCAAAGCTGCCCGGGACCAGACAGGCTGTCGCCAGCGCCGTGCGCATGCGCGGGTGCTGGCGCGGGAAAAGTAACCCATTTACCCGGGAGTTGCCTATATAAGAGGCTGCGAGGCGTTTGGGCGAGGCTGAAGCCATCTTCCTGTAAGCTGAACGCTGAATAAAAGAAACTGAGAACTCCAGCTGCTTCTTGTGTCTGTTTCCCGCCACGGACTCAACACAATCCATTATTTTCTTTACCAGCAGGTTTGTTTTTTTTTTGCTTATTTTTTTATGTTATCTAAATTTCAGGACTGGGCTTGGAGCAATGTGTGTAGCATTCATTAGATTTGTGGTTCTCATTCATGTTAATTTATATGTGCACAAAAATGGCTTCTGCTCACATATGCCACAGTTAGCTGCATGTAGCACTGCTATCTTAGAGAAAATTGCTAAGGCCAAAAACATTTGTGGGAATTTTTATCATACCATAAAGTGAAAGAATTAATTCATTTCTCTGTGATCCCAGTCCTGACTCATAACTTTTTAATAATAAAAATCTATAATCCTATGTCCATCTCTACTTCAGTTTCAGCTGTTCAATCATCCTAGTCATATATGTAGACCAGATTTAATCAAAAATTGTTTCTTTTTACTTGGAGCTAATTTAACCTTCCTGTGTAAGATATTTCACAGCTGGAGCACAACTGGCAAAATCCTATTTACAAGTGCAAGAATGCAAAATTTCATTTATTGGTAATATAGTATAAAGAGCCTTCTCAGAAGAATTCAGATCTTACCGTTGCTTTCAACTCAGATTGTGCCAGAATGGAGAAAGTAAAATATCTTCTATTGTTTTGTCCTGTGATCTCCCAGTTCTGCAAATTTTACTTGTAGCTAATAACCCAAGCCTGGGAAATAGCTATAAGAGAAGAATGAGATATGGTTTTGTTTTGGGTTTTTTTTTCACAGTGTCCCTCATATGGACAGGAGGTTGATATGGGCTATAGAATTAAAAGAAACTTAATAGCATTCAGAGATGGACTCAGATTGGCAAAAGAAAATAATGGCTAACAAGGAAATAAAGAATTGATCAGACAGCTAAAAAAAACCCTCATATCATCAAGGAGGAGATGGCCAGCAAGGGATATGTGCATCCAGCACAGATATCCAGAGGACAAAGAACCAAAAAGACCAAAAATAAGATCAACTGTACACTAATTGTTGGGGTTTGCCAGATGAGTTTAATTAATGTCCTGGATTAACTCTTTTGGAAATTCAGTAGAATTACATTTTAAAGTAAGCACAGCATCATTTTAGCAGTACTTACTACTGTCAGAGAGTTAGTTAATTTCTGAACTGTAAGGCAGTTGGGTCATAAAGTAATTTACTACATTTCTTTGAGGAAAGAAATGGAGAAGTTGAAGGTTTCTGTGCATTAACTGAATCCATTTGCATAAATATCTAGTTAGAAGAGTCAATATATTTCTATCCTTTTAATGCTAAGAATAAAGAGAAAAATTAGAATGACATGCAAGAAAAGACCTTGCATGCTGCATTTTGCCTTATTAATTTTTCATGACACAGACTCTAAGACTATATTAATTGCATTTTAATATTATTTTAAGGTTGATCATTTCTGTTATTTTATGTGTTAATATTAGACATGCAATGCTGCATTTGTTAATTCTACTATGCCAGGATTTGTTTTAACTGCATTACTGAGCAAACCAGAGCATCCTGATTCATGCATAACACTAAGCCATAAATTGGTGATAGAAACCACAATAGCTGGGGTCACACAACATTTTAACCTAAAACAAAATGATGGTTCAGTGCAATGTGTGATTACCATTAGAAATAACTAGAAGAGAGGAGGTGGCTTCCACATTATTCTTCTATTCTGCTATTCCATTTATTTATAATGGAATCTAATTTTTTTTGACCCACTAAAACTTGACTCCTATTAAAGATGTAACCAGATGCACTGCCATAACTATATTTTCCAATATGCTCTTTTCAACAGCATTCAAAGCAGAGTGGAACTGAGAAAGACCTTGAAATGTCACACATTCAAGTGGTATTTGGAAAATGTCTATCCAGAGCTTAGGTACTACTAGTTTTGTTTTTGTTTTTTTTAAAAAAAAATATGTTTAGTATATGTTACTTGCTACATGAATGAAATTTGACAAACTTCGTTTTGTTTTTCAGCTAGTATGAATAGTATATCCTTCCAGATGGTTGACTGTAAATTCCCATCATTCCTCATCTTAGCCAGGTTAGCTAGGGATTATAGGAGTTGGAATTCAGCAACAACTGGAAGACAACAACCTACTCATTCTTGCATTACAGGATGACTTTAGGTCTGATCCACTATGCACATTTTCTTAGAAGTAAGATTTATTGATTATTGCTGTATTGTATTTTCTTTCTTCTTTTCAGAATTAATCATTATATGTTTATTTATTTAAACTAATTTAATTAATTTTAACTAGATAGGGTTTTTTAAACTAGTTTGTTAGTTTATTTTTAGCAATTAAACTAAAAAAAAACATTCCCAATAGGGCTTAAAATGTCAGCATTAAAACAATTGTTCAGGCTTATCACTTCATATTTTTTTTAGTCTAACCCTTTATAAGACAAAATACTTTTCTAAAAGTTTCCCAAGTTTGAAATTATTAGTTGACATATTTTTGAAAAATCATTGTTTCCAGCATAATTACATTTTTATCCTGTCCCTCTCCTCCAAAGAACCCATTGCATATGTTGATAGTAAACAGCATAATGGAATTAAAAAAACCCAGAGTAAATGGAATATCACCCATGAAGTTTCATAATGCTAACTGTTGGTGGCTGTTTGTTTATTTCAAAATATTTTACGCCAATTTTTGATCAAATTATACCAAAAGGAACAGAAAAGGAAATTGAAGTCAGTTTTTTTTTTAAGATCAAGTTCAGAAATCATTTGTTATATTGCGTTGGCTCTTTTATATTGTCAGCAATTACAATGTATAGTTGCTTGCTACATGTGAAAACTGATAGCCTTATTCTGGGTCATTCTTCTAAAATCAGTGATGCACTCTGTTCCTCTTACACGTTTAGAATGGATATTATTAATTATTTAACATATTGTTAATCTTTAGGCTTTATCTGTTGCCTTAGAATTCCTGAGGAATCACTGTACCAGACAGGAATGATTCGGCAGAGACAGAGATGTCTAGAGTCCCAGAAAAATGAAGGACAGGAATTCCCAATGGTCCTCTTAAATCCCTGCATCACCAGCAAAAGTGCAGCAGCGATGGCACAGGTAATTTCTCTAAAGTGTTGCACATTGGAGGGAACATAAAGCTTTATTCATAGGGTTTACAATTACATGCTGCCCTTATCTGAACTATGATATTGTGGAGGTGGCTAAAACTCTATCCGCTGATGGTAAATGATAAAACTAAGGCTGGAAAGATGATTAAAGCAGGATGCTCAATTAACAAAACCCACTGGTAGCTTTTTTTTTAAAGGCACTCAAGAAAAAAATAGCATTAAAAGTTCAAAAATATGGATGAAATGTACAAAGAAGAAAGATCAGCAAAATGATGGCATAAACAAATCAGATTTTTTAAAATACCCAAGCAGTGATGGAATGCAAATAGCAGGGTCATTAAAAAAAATCTTTGTCCCATGAGCTTAACGCATAATGAAGTACTCCATGCTATATATGTTGGCTAAGAATGAAATTCAAGATGACCAGGGTGCACTACCCAAGCCCCCTTTGTTATAAGGGAATTATTCTAGTTTCCAGCAGAGTTATAAACAAGACTTCCAAAAGCCAACCTATTTCAGGTTTACTGATAGCAGCAAAAAAAAAAAAAAAATGTGTTTGGACTACAACTTCCAAACTTTCCAATCAACCTATACCAACACATTTCCAGGGGGTCAGGCTGGAGAAAATAAATTGGCTATGGAAAGAATAGGAAATGCATATATTTCATGTAATATCTGAAGACACCTATAGAAGCTTGCATATTTTTAAAAATCTTCTTTTTCCTAACACTCCTTGCCCACAGAAATCTTGGGTTTATAAGCTTGTCGTTGAGATGCTGATTATTTATAAGCAGAGGACTGATTACCTTGGATAATGTTTAGATAATCTGTGTTTTAATTGTTCTTTGGAATAGTGTATTTGTTTTCTTTGAATCAGATTAGAAGAACTGATGTGAGCTGATTTCCTACTTGGTAGCTAAGTGGTAAAATATTTATGTATAAAAGATTCTTCCTTGAGATATGTCTGTAAGCTGTCACAATCCCAACAAATATTCCATGGCTAGTGAATTTAAATGGACTCCAGAAGATGGTAGAGGACAGGAAGACCTGGAGGAACGTTGTCCATGGGGTCGCGATGGGTCGGACACGACTTCGCAATCAACAACAACAACAAGTATTTTTCTGGAATGTAACTTTATCATCTGCAGATCACTTTGTGTGCAAAGAAGTTGCCTTGTAATAAGTCTTCCCATGAAGCCAGGGACATTATTTACAAATCTGTTCCTTTTCAGACTCAAACATCTATATTAGCAGTAATGCTTGGGGTGCATAGAATCTTGAATGTTCTTAGCATCCCAAGAATCAAAACTGTAAGGGACTTTGGTCATTCCAGCAGAAATATCCTGTATTATTTGTTATTTAGATTTATATTCTACTTTTCCTCCAGGAGTTCAAAGTGCAGTACTTAACATTCACATTTTGCCTACTACAATCATGTGAGGTAGGTTATCCTGACTGGCACTTATTGACCTATATCACCCCTTTGTGAATTTCAATAGTTAGGTGAATTTGAAGCTAAGTCTCCCCAGTCCTTTCCCAGCACTGATTCTCTCTTATATGAATAAATCTCAACAAGAGCTCATCCCAGACCCATTTGTACTTAAAAGCAAGCTATTATGGCCCATAATTCTTCTCCCATCTTTTAGACCTATTCACTCTTTTTCCTACTTCTAAAAAAAATGTACTGAATTGCAGCACTATATGAAGTTCATACTCGGCATTCATTCAATATTAAATTGCCTATTAAAGTAAAAGGAGCTTAATGAAGCTTATCTCATTCTCCCCCAATTAGCAAAAGGAAAATATGCAGTGTCAATCAGAGAGTATTCTTTGGAGCAGATTAACAATTAGGTGCCACTTTGCAACCCTAGGAACACCCAAGGTATGCTCTGTCTTCCCACTCCACCCTTGTAAAAATTATATTTTTCATGTAAGAATACTGAATATGTACTTCAACTTTAGGGGAAAAAAAATAATGACTGACAACTATTCATGAAAACGGGGCCTTCCTTCATTGTGAAGTTTCAGTAGGAGAGGAATTATTGTTTTGTATATCTAGGAATATGACAGACAATAGGTTTCGTTCTCTGTATTTTCTCTGGGTGATCCACGTGATCCTGTTGCAGTCACTGAAGAATGCAAAGTCACTCTGTTCATCTCAGTACAATATCTTCAGTATAAAAAGTTCATTTTTTAAAACAGTTTTCATGTAGAAATAACTGGAGGCTCTCCATAGTATTAGGAAATATGTTTCAGACACACAATCAAATTAATGGTGGGGAGAAATATTACACATTAGAGCCTTTTCTGCCAGCAGTACCCATAATTAAACAAAGACCCATAAGGAGATCTTTTTGATTTATGGAAAGGAGTCCAGCCTCTGGCTTTAATGAATGTCCAAGAGGAAGAAAATTCCACATAAAGCAGAAAGCCAAAGAGAATTTTTTTTATATGCTGTTATTCAGACTAAACTGTTGTTGCTATTACTTAGCTTGCTGTGGTCAGGGTTCACAAGAGAATGAGGAAAGGGCCATTCATGCTGCTACAGCACTTTAGCCTTTCTCTCCCTTGTTTTTTGGGGGCCATTAGCCAGCCATTAGCCTAATAAATAAATAATGACAGCTTATACAGCAGGGATCTTGCTCTTTATGGTGACTTGTTTTTAAAGTCACAGGGTGCTTTTAAGTTTGTATTACTTCCCTCCAAGAAGCTTCCAGTACCAAATAATTTAATAATTAAAATATCTGCAAAAATGACTTTGTAGGAAATATTTTCTAATTCCAAGGGATATAATACTGTATGGTGTTTAGAGCCTCAGAATCCCCTCTGGGAAGAGCTGTGTCCTTGAAAAACCTGCTGTTCTCCAGAGGTACCAATTCAGAAAATAAGACAGCCATGCAAACTTGAATAAGAACTCTAAGGCTCTTACATCAGGCTGTGTACTTTACATGGAAAAGTACATGGAAGTCCGACTGACATATTTATGTATTTTCTCAGTTCCAAAACTCTTTAAAAACAGGCCTGGTAAAAATTCCCCAAAGGATAAGTCAGCATTGTATTACTGCTTGCAATTTCCTGAAACATTTTATGAATGAGAAGAGAGAGAGACAGATAGTTGAAGTTTTCAAGTACAGTTTGCCTTTGAGAGTAGAAGTGAATTGTGTCTGAGAAAAACGTAGAAGAATTTCCTGTTCTACTATGGCCAGGTTAGTGTTAATGTTTCTTCCACTATAATCTTTTATAACAAAGCACTTTCCAGATGTGTTGAGACTGTAATTATCCAAAACTCAGCCCACAAATGTTATAATAGCTACTAATTATGGGAGTTACAGTCCCAACACATCTGGAAGTGTCAAATTGGGGGTGGCTATCCAGAGAGAGAAAGAGGCTAGTGAAACTGGATCTATTCAGTGCTTACCTACCTAAGAATATTTATCTTTTCATTTTTCCAATCCGTGCATTATTGGGATTAATTATTTCAAATACTACAACAACAAAACAGTAAAGAAAGGTTTAAAAAATATAGCAGAAGAAATAGTAGGGGAGAAAATGAGGAAAATCAAAACATTAAAGTTTACTGAGTAAAATAAAAAAAAATGGTGTGAAAGCAGGAGAGCTTTCCTGCTGTGTTATTGCTGCCTCAGCATGTAGCTATCCTAAGAGACAAACAGGATCTGATGCCTTTTCAGATACATCTGAGCCAGTGGTTTTATTATGTGTTTGAGTATTTCTTATTTATTATTTGTGAAGAATTTGCACTCCTTTTGCTCAGAGTCCCCTAACAATCCCTTTCTCTGGCTACCTTCAGTTCTCATCCTGAAAAAATGTTCCACAAAATACATCATGAAATAAGGATCAATCATGTTCCTCACAGTCATTCTTTTTCCACTGAGCAAATAATTGCCTCCTGGCATCTGCAGAAAGTGGTTTGCAATCTCTTATTCCATAGAGTTGCAGACTCCTGGGACTGAGCACACTGTTTGGCCTTCCTTGGCCTTGTTTATGTCTCATTTGTGAAAGGCAATTGATTGACTTAGCAGTTTGCCAAAGAGATGCATTGGAGGGTAAATAATTGATCATAATTTTGCCCTGCTTTTGTCTAATGAAGATGTCACTGTTTGGCTGATGCACTGGCTTTCCATTAGAGCATAGCATCAGCTGATATTAAAGTTTGCAGTAACCTTCTTGGAACAGATTTCTGAATCTGGGATTCATTTAATAAACCCATTAATCATTAGCAGTTCCAAGAAACCTGACAAGCTTTAGAAAAGGAATGAGAAGCCTGTTAGGCCTGGATACCCTTCAACACATTGGTGGCAGCAGCAGCAGCAGTGAAATGATTCTATAAGGTCTCAGAGAAAAGCTGTCATTCTGTAAGCTGGCGGGACTGAAATCTTTAATTATTATTATTGTTGTTGTTGTTACTTCTTCTTCTACATCTTCCATCCCTCCTCCTCCTTTTTCCCCTTCCCCTCCCCCCTCCTGTCCCCCTGTACTCCACAGCCTGCCTTGCAGAATCCCTTGTCACAGGGTTGAATCATCACCCAGTTAGCTAGTGTGATATTTTTATTTGAACTTGTGAAAAGATTCGTACTGATGCTAGAACTATTGGGTGCCTACCCTGTGCCAAGTATCTCTATAGTATGCTTCAGGGAGTGCATAAAGGATTGTTTGCAGAGATAAACCTATTACACTCCCCCAAGCATGTGGTTGTCATCAAGCTTCATCTAGAGAGAATCTGGAAGCCAAAGATGCTGTTTATCTGAGAGAAGAAGAAGGTGCACAGAAAAGGTCATTCCAGCACAGTATCTTTTCTGTCACACTTGTGGTTTTCCAATCCTGTTGCTTTCCTGATTGCAATTTAGATGGAGAAGGCCTGGGAGAAGGGATCATTTCTTCACATTGCCTGCCCCCAAAGAGTTGCATCACTCAGCACTTGAAAGGGCTAGGAAGAGTGCGGTTTGTAAGGCAAGGAATGCAAGAAATGTGCCCGTATGGCTGCACCTTTGGAAGAAAACTGCACTCATTGCAAATAGTGAACTTCTAGCTGTGTAATTCCCAAGAAAAATTTAGAGACAATGATGGACAAGAATGTTTGCAATGATTAGTTTGACAGGAGACCCTTTGAACACCTACAAAAGGACTATGAAGATCAATATTACGTTTGTGAAGGAATCATAGGATAGTGCAGTAAGGAATTTTGTCAGGTCCCATTGAATGAATCAGAACAAAAAAACTAGAACCACTTAAATGCATCCACTTCTCTATTTCTGTCTCAAATCCCCCACTCCTTCCCCACTCCCCCATAGCTGAATGGTGCATTGCCAGGAATGCACATTGTTGTGCTATGAAATACAGCATTTCCAGGACAATGAGGTTATCTTACACAGTGGGCCACATTGGAAGCCATCAGTAACCATTGCTTGTCCTCCATAATCTAACTGAATGGCTACCAGTTAAGAAGCATAATGTTTCTTTGGGAACAATAACTGAAAGAGAAACTAAATGCTTCTTTTCCAACCATTGTATAATCCAGATAATGAAAGGGCATCTTAGGGTAGTGTGTTAGCAGAAGGGCATTTTTGCTTGTCTTTTTAACTCACCCTATGCCAATGCAGAGAGATTCTCTTGGTCCCTAACCCTTTTCCGTTCTTTCTTTAAATGGATGCGTCTTCACCATGAAGAACTAACCTAACAATGATGCTTCTCTTACTGCCTTCACCAGATGTGGTAAAGGGGGCTTTGAAAACCCCTTTTGTATATCTGGTGGAAAGAATATTTGCAGAGGAACATGGCATAGTTGCAAAGGCATTTCAGCTTGTCAGAAGACAAGCCTGTTTCTGGTTAAAAAAGAAGGAAAAAAAAGTGCTGAAATTGAGTGCGAAGGGCCTTCGAGAAAATAGAGGAAGAAGAGGAGGAGGGAGGTGTGAGAAGGTTCATGCTCCAAGAAGAGACTTTGCATGCTAACTATTTTCTCTACAGAAAATTCAACTGCATTAACCCTGTCAGGGGCTAGGGACTATTTTTCAAGGCTCTAAAATCATTCAAGGTGACACCTGTCACTGCTCCTCAGCATCAAAATGAATTCTAGAAATGAATGTGAAGTGTCATCTTTGGCTGTTCTTAGCATGTCTGCTTTTGCCTGCATCACACCCTTTTCTCTTCCTTGCCATTTAATCAGATGTGAACCAGATGGTAACCCTAGATATAAATATAGAAATCACTTCTTAAGAGATGTTACTTGCTAAGGGAAGGAAGGGGGCAGGATGGGGGGGCAGAAGTGACTTTATCCAACCATGTCCTTGTTTTACCCTTGTTTTGTTCCTAACACTGTAATCTTAACAGACACTGGTTAGAAACCTCTTTATTACCCTTGTTCATTCATCCAGAAGGAAAATATCAATCCCTTTCAAAATTTCAACAATCAGCTTCCATAACCTATTCAGAAGCTTAAAAATGGAAGATGGGGAAATCTTTTTGTGAGTTGATTGCACACAAGAAGAAGCTGTGGTGTGGGGTAGGTGCCTGAACTTGCAGCATTTCATTATTTGCAATTCATTTCAGCAGCACTGTCAAGAAATAAAAGGGAATTAGCTCTGCAGTTCCTTCACTTAGTATCACAACATGCACATTTATTCTAGACTGTTTGGATTGATTAAAAACACAAAATGATTATCTTAGTTGACTCAATATCTTTCCTGATGAATCTCTATCTCTAGCTCATATGAATCTAAGCAGAGTAACTTAGATAAGGGGTGTCTATGGAACATTGAATTCCTGTCCAGGAACCAGAGTTTTGGTGCCACCTGAGAAGAAAGGTTAAAACAGCTCCACCCTTTCCCTAATTGGAGAGTTTGTTCTAGAAAAAGGGAACTGAAAAGAAGTGTGCCAAGGATGGATATGTCAAGGAAAAGAATTAAGCCCAGAGAACAGCAACCCAAAGGCAAGCAGCTCAACAGCTGTCTTCAGACAGCAAGAGAAAATTTCAGTTTTTGGATCTTCAACACCAGCTGAGAGTTGGGGGAGGAAAAATGCCTGAACAAGAGTCTGCCAATCCAAGCAATCCCACAAACCCAGAGTGTACAGCAGCCCAGATGCAGAGCTCTATAAACCAGCTCCAGAAACAGAGAGCTGGGAAGGGGGCAATGAGGTGAGGAGAGAAAAGTCAATTTGCAAGTCTATAAAGGATTGAAAAGGGGTTTTGATATGCAAATGACTGAGATTGGTTAGACCTGGGGAAAAGAAAGATTTGAAGAAGAAATTGTTAAGATAAGGAAACATAGTGTTAACATCGGAAAAGAAACAGAGAGATAGGAATGTATTGTCAGCCCTCCCAAGAAAATCAGACAGGAAATGTGACAAGATGAATTAATTCTACTTTATTGTAAGGCTACATTAACAGAAACTTGAAAGTCTGAAGGCACAGAGTTCCCACCTCTACTTTTTAACTACTTGATCCATTTGGGCAGGTCTTTCCTAATTTCTTTCTGTGGCTGTTAAAGAGACACTGACTGCAGGCTCCTGCCATTTTTATCTCATTGTTTTCCAGACAGCACTCCTCCTCTCTTTCTCCAAGGTCATTCATATATTCCAATACATGTATAGTTTAAACAAGAACAGAAATAGAATAATTGTAAACTTATAGTAACAGGAAGATAGAAGTTTAATTTTGTTCAATAAAGTCATTTTGTGTGGGGAAAAAAAACAGGTACAGTCTTTGTTGCTGTGTACTGTACCACATGAAGAAAATTCTAACAAATGGTGGCAATGATGGGATATAGTTCAATATCCAAACATAAAGAATAAAAGACTTGCATGGAAAAAGGAAAGGGTGATCTTGCTGTAGAGGGCAAATTGACTGGGAGACAAAGTGTTTGAGATCTAGAGGCAAGTAGGAGTATCTCAGCACATGACTCATCAACAACGTACATAAGGCAGCTTGAAATAGAGAAAGAGGGTGGACTGTAATCTGGAAGGAGGGCCAACCCTGGCAGTTAACCATGATCCATCTGAAGCCCTGATAAGTATGGTGAGGAGGCATCTGCTATGACAGCAAGAGGAAAGACAACTGATGGCTAAAAGATAAGAGGAAGGGCAAAGGAAAGCTCTCAGAAAAGAGGAGAAAGATAGTTTATGAAGGGAAACTGAGCAAAGAGACTGCTTAAAGAAAGACAGATTGGAAAGAACAATATGAAGAGAGGAGTTCAAGGAACTTATAGTGCTCCTTAAAGGAATTGAATCCCTTCTCTAAATCCAGTTTCTGAGGTAGCAAGGGGCAGACATTATGAGATACCTTTCCAATACTCAGAGGAGAAATATATTAGAACTGCCTTTTGTTGTGTTGCAGGGAGATACTATGGCTTGTAAAGAGGTCATCTGTGTCAAAACTGAACCGCCCTCTCTCAACAGAGGGGGAGGGATACAACATCATCTACCTTCAGTCTACATTACAACAAAGTCTTCTCCAGCATGATTGGATGGAGACTCCACTAGTGGGTTGTCTTAATCTTGCTGCTCCAATAAGACTAAGTCAGAGTTAAAGTCACGCCTCTACTGTGTCCCCATGTCCAGGTTTTAGACTTAGTCTTTTGCTCCTAAGACACGTTTTTTTTTTTTCCGTAGCTCAGACTACTTCTGATAAACTTCTATCTATTGGAGAGAGAACTATTCCTTTCTTTCCCAATTAGCCTATTCTGATAAAATTCTTATCTATTCGAGAGAGAACTATTCCTTTCTTTCCCACTTAGCCTCTGCCCTACAGTTAAATCTTAACCGGGCCGAATTGGGCTCCTCGTGAGCAAGGAGGCCTCGGCCTCTTAGGCCTGGGAAAGCAGAGCATCGAGTCATCCAGAGACCAGCGCAGCAACAGGGGCCTGATCTCCTCCTAGAGCAGTGGTTCTCAACCTGTGGGTCGGGACCCCATTTGGGGTCAAATGACCATTTCACGGGGGTCGCCAAACCATGCTGTCCGCCATTTTTTCCCCTTTTCCCTAGCTGTCCTACTCCCTCTTATTGGTGGCCACACCCACTTGGGGGTCACCACAACATGGGGAACTGTATTATGGGGTCACGGCATTAGAAAGGTTGAGAATCACTGTCCTAGAGAAACAGTGCAGTCTGATCCTGACAGGGCAGCATTGGAATTAATGATGCAGGGGTCTGCTAGCCAGTGCAGGGCGGGGCCTTCAGCCACCTTTACGCCCACGGCAGCAGGACTCCGCTCCACGGAGGTTCAACCTTTAGGAGCGGAACAGGTTCAGGCCATGATCACTCAGGCTCTGACTCAGTTCATAGCCACTTCTGTCCCACACCATCTGCCTCAAGCACCAGCCTCACAGCCTCCACTTCGCCCAGGCTCGCCAGACCTCATAGAGGACACCTCATCAGAGTCAGGATCAGAGGACTACGATTTCTCTCGTCTGATCCTATCGGATGATGAGGTCACTCCGGCACTGGATCCAGTACCACCTACCAGCCCTCTCTCAACAGAGGGGAAGGGATACAACATCATCTACCTTCAGTCTACATTACAACAAAGTCTTTTCAGCAGTTCCAAGAAGGTTCCACACCCATTTGCACTACTCAGGTGACCTTGAGGACACAGACAAACCCTCAAGTGGCCTCAACAACTCTCTAAAAGAATGCAAATGACCAGCTATCTGCAAGGAATATAAATCCTTGTGAAAAAGCACCCTGGATGACTGACAATCTCCATAAACATTTATAGAAGGCCAACTAATCTAGCAAAAAGGGCCACCAGATAAAGCACCATTAGTGAGAGCCCCTCTAGGACCTGGGCATACATGCAGATTTTTTATCCTGCCAGGTATAATGCAGAGACATATTTAAAGAAATTGGTAGTCAAGATTGGTGTGATGAATGCCCAGAAAAGATCTGGGAACTGAAAACAAGCACGTCCTTAAGGAAAAGAGTCAAGCCCAGAGGACAGCAGAAATGTAGAAAAGAGAAACTCCTACCCAAAGGCCGGCATATCAGAGCAGTTTTCAGAGAAAACTGAAGAGAAAACTTCAATTTTTGGACCTTCAAGACCAGCTGAAGCAAAACAGAGAGCAAAACTGAGAGCCCAAACAAGGCTCTGCAAACCCCATCAAGCCTGTAAACCCACTGCAATGCTCTCTACAAATCAGCTCCAGATATAGAGAACTCTGAGTGCTGGGAGAGGGGAAGGGGAGAGAAAAGCCCCTTGGCAAGTTCTATAAATGAATGAAAAGGAATTTTCATATGCAAATAGACTGAGATTGGTTACAAGAACTGAAGACCTGGAAGAGGAAGGAAAGATTTAAAGAAGGAATGCCTATTAGTTAACATAGGAATAGGAACATAGCAATAGGAGATAGACATAGGAATATATAGATTAAATGAGAATAGAAGTAGAAACCTAATAGAATAAGACTTTGTACAATAAAACTGTTTTACACGAGAAAAGCAAATAACAGTCTTTGTTTCTGTGTTCTGTATCATATTAAGAAAAACTCTAATACTGAACCCCACTAATTATCCAGCAAGGTTCAATCATAGTAACTATGCTATATCATACATAATACTGTGAAATGAAGTTTGGGGGTAAAATTACTATAGTGGTTCCCAGTACAACATTTACAGTGCGTAGATTTTAAATTTTAACTGCCTAACTGTTGGGTCAGAGCTCGACACTGAGAGACCGAATCACTTTAGCATAAACTTGGAAGACTGCTACGTTCCTAGAGGTTCATACAAGTAGTCCTTGACTTGTGATCACAGTTGAGCCCAAAATTTCTGCTGTTAAGTGAGACCTTTGTTAATTGAGTTTCGCCCCATTTTACGACCTTTCTTGTCACAGTTGTTAAGATGGATTGCTGCAATTGTTAAATTAGTAGCATGGTTGTTAAGTGAATACTGGTTTCCCTGTTGATTTTGCTTGTTCAAATGACCTTGGGACTCAGCAACGGTCATAAGTGTGAACCAGTTGCCAAGTGTCTGAATTTTGATCCCATGATCAGGGGATGCTGCAAAGGTCGCAACTGCGAAAAATGGTCATAAGTCACTCTTTTCAGTGCTGTTGTAACTTTGGTCGCTAAATGAACTGTTGTAAGTTGAGGACTACCTGTATTCATGTCACTGTCAGGAAACAGGTTACTTTTCAGACATTTTAAATTGAACTCACAAAATTATAACTGCTTCTATTCCTTTTTAAATTATTTTCATTTTATTTGTGTGTTAGCTGTTGTTAATGTCCTCCTGGCAGAAATGAGAGAAGGGATGAGGGGAAGGATGGTATTTTTAAATATTAATATTTAATATTTTAATGTTTTGTCTTGTTTCTTTTACTTGATTGTAAGCCATCTAGAGTCACCTCTAGGTAAGATGAGAGCGTATCAGTTTAATAAATAAAATATTTTTTTTTGATACCTGGATCCTTTCCAGTCCTGTGTTGTCCAAGGAGATCCCAGAGTGACACACATAGCCACATGAAGGTCTAATGGTGAATAATCAGTATACTTTGTATCCTCCCATCAAAGTCCTGACTGGATGAAACCTACTGGAGTGAATAGACTCAAAGAAATGAATTTGTTAAAAAAAAAACCCTATTCTTTTAATTATTTAATAATTATTAATTATTAAAGTGAGAAATCAGTAGTTGGAAAGAAATTAACACTGAGTGAGAGAGAAAATGCAAGATATAATGAATTTAATTAAAGAAATATACTGAGAAGTAAGGCTATCAGTTTAATGCATTCTTCTTTGTTTCAGGAATGGACGTATACATATAACCAGCAAATCCACTTTCAACAATTATGCTTGTCCATACATACCCTCTTTCCAGGTTCCCAGGTGATGCTTTTGCCTTGCAAAGAAGGGGATGGCAAGCAGGTGAGACCAAGATCAGGGTTGTTAAATTCTTCTCCAGCATGGTGTACTAGTATTGATGTAAGATTTTTTTCCCCTTTCCTTGGTTCATTTTTTTTATTGATTTACTGGAGCTTATCTGCTATTCTAATCCAGAAGGACCGTGCCAGATGCTAACAGCACTAATGTCTGTGAAAAAAAAACATACATGGTCACTGATACCATTGAAAAATCATTTGGAAAATGTCAAAAATTACTTGGATTTGCTTGGGATAGGACAGTTAAAAATGTCTAAGGTCTGGAAATTAGTCACATCATATTGCCTAGGTGCCCAGTGTTGATGCCTGATGCTATTGACAGTCATATCACACACTGGGCTTGATTTAAAATTTAAGAGGCAATAGTTAAAAGCAAAATCATATCAATTATAAACAAAGTTGTGGCAATAGTCCAATAGCTAACTATAATTATTTTTCCAAAACTGATGCAAGGTTAGGCTAAACCAGATGGGATTCATCATGATGTCTCATTTGCCAACAAAAGATTGCACAGATGAAACATTTATCCCCAAGTGTGACATGCTTTATTGCTTCATCCCTATCCATTGCTTCATCCTTATCATGTTGGTATCCATGCAGATAACAGTGGACAGATTTTGAAGCAGCTTTCTTAAAAGGATATGTTGGGCAATGAGAATATATTTTCCACATATTTTGGTAATACTTTGGCTTTGTATAGATTCTTAAAAAGAAGCTGACAGAAGATAAAATGGTTAGATATTGTTACTGATATTATCAGATGAGCTTAGAACAACTCAAACAGTCACTAATAGAAATCCTAGTAAACTATTATCTATTGGATCACAAAAAAGTGACTGAACAACAACAAAATATTATAATTAGCATTGCTGTGAACACTTTGCAAAATTCCTGAAGTTTGAATACTGAATTTCCACTTGCTTTCCTTAAATAATTATTCTTCTCTTTGTTTACCATATTGATACAACTCAACAGCTATTATATATCATAAAGTATGAGCTAGGAATTCTGTTTGATCCAATGATCAGACTGTTCCCCAGGCAACCCTTATGAATTGGGGAGGTATCAGTTGGCAGGCTACATTTTTTCTTGAAACTCCCTCAAACTCTTTCTCCATAGCATAGTAAGAGATACCGTAGCAATCTTTGCCTGCCTGCAGAAAAATACTACCCTGATCATTGCAGTAGCTTTGATACTTTAATGGGAAGAGCTTCTTAAATATAACATAAGGCTAATCTTAATTTCCCATTTTTCTTTTAATAGCGCTGGAATAAAGTTGGTTCTCACATTGAGCACATGGCTACCCGCTATTGCCTGGACACAGAAATGGTGGGAGATAGCAGTGAGAGCATGAGAGAAGTGGTCATTAACCCCTGTGAAAGCACAGCAATGAGTCAGCGGTGGGAAATGGTGATGTCCTGAACTCATCTATCAATTCACCATCAAGCTCATCTGGAAGGACCTTTGTCAGAAATTGGCAAGGCTGTTGTCCAGTATAGGGGTTGGTATGGGCTTGCTTTTCTGTGGGGCAGGTCAAAGAATAAGAACATGCAGTTGTGCTGATGTTGAAGAAAGGCTCACAAGTGCTGGCTTTAAGACCAGAGTAGTAACTATTCCAGGTTGGGGGTGATATGTGTGTACTGTTAAGAACATCACAATGTAATCTAGAAATATCTTTTGGTAACATTCATCTGTTAGCTGAAGCACAATATGACCTTGTTTTTGAGAAGGAAACTTTCTGAAATTGATAATTTAATTGTCTTTGTTACCAAGGTTATTGAAAATCCTCAGAAAATAATAAGCGAGCAAGATGATTCTAATGGAAGAGAAATGAAGAAAAGAGAAGCTAAATCTTGTAAAAGCACATGAATGGTCATGGTGGGAATGATTAGGAAGGGCCAACAAATCTTGCACTTTGAATTGGTATAACTAAGCACATCTCTGAAATAAGTTTGAAATAAGCTATATTGCACATGAGAATTTGAATGTGAACCCTGTTTTTGTGCAATAGAGATTGTATGTAGTGTGATTAAAATCAATGCGTGTAAGAGAGGGGGAGGGAAATTGAAGAAGAAAGTGAAATATTGGATTTTTCTTCAACTGATTATGTGTGTATGAAGGGGAAAAAAAGAAATATTTATCCTAACTTCAGTGCAAGGTTTCTTTCAGAAATGGAAATATATAAGGACCCTTGTCCAGAAATCATGAATGTCCCCTGGAAAGGGAGGGAAGACAAGATTCTCCATTCTAACTCAGCAGAGGGCATACATTCAGCATATAACTGGCCCTACATCCTCTCACTTGCCCAGAACTGATATGAAGAAGGACCAGGAGAATACAAAGTGGATGGTAGATGGACAGTAGCTTGTCATTTCCTTCCATTTTCTCAGATGGCCTGGGGGAAAAAATGACATAGTGATCACCTCTAAGGTCCAACTTGTCAATTTATGGTATTAGTTATATCTTGTTTTCTTGTCGATTTTCCCCCTCTTCGCCTACCCTATCAAGACTGAACATTTGAGCTAACTAACTATAGATAATTTACAGAAACTTGAAGAAGAGAAGATCACATTACTTGCAGATACACTTTTGTTATTTTTGTTTTGCTGACAGCATTGTCTCTGAGTTGGGTGGGAGGAGGTTGTTAAATAAGAGCAGCAACAATTTTAGCAAAATCACTGGATAGTGTTTAGATCAGAAGATCATAGAAGCATAGGAAGGAAAGTGAATTTTACAGTGCAGAAATCTATGATGCCACTGAAATCAGAAGAAGCCCAAGATATGAATATTGATTTGTGGTAGAAAGTACACAAAATTTAGCTGAACCCCAAATTGACCAAAACCTGGGTCTTAATGAAACAAAGCAGAATTCTCAGAGTAGCTGAAACTGACCTAGGAGTCTTATTGAATGATTTCATGCTTTGTGGCATTACAGAAAATTGGTTCCATGCTTGCAAAAAGAAAATAAAAGTTGCATTTCTCTATTAAAAAGCAGGATGGGGAAATAGGAAGGAAAAGGATGGGGGAAGTGTTGAGTTAGTTGCGATTTTCCAATCTGCCAGCTGATTAAAGACTTACAAGAAACCAGGATATGCTAAAAAGAACAATAAGGTTTCTTGCAATGTGTTGGTTCACTTTTAAGGGCCATAAGAAATCATCTCCACATTCGTACGTCAATAGATGAACGTTAACTGTTTTAAGTATATAGGAAGCATTGTTTAAACTAGTGCTCTCTTCAGCACATACCATTTAATTCTGCAAATAACAATAATGATCCCTCCATCTATATGCTTATTGTGTGTATTTCTAGACAAAGATTACTTCTAAAATGTCAGCCTGGTGCCTTCTATATATGTTGAAGCTAATCCTGTCTTGCAGTTAGGGGCACTGAAATACTGGGCAGAGGAAGCCTGCAAAAGGTAACACTGGTGCTGTCACACAGTCCTTTCTAATCCAAACAAAAAACCTTCTGCCTGTGTGTGTCGTGAGTTATTCGTGCCTCTATTTGAGAAGGCGGATTAACACTTTTCATTATTCCATTTCTGGGATCTCAGACGAACCTAAAGCCACCTGCTGTTTATAATTGTAATGTGAGTTTCATGATTTAAAAACCTTGGAATAAGAAAAATTTTCATATCATAAAAGTAATATTTTGCTATTTGAAGCTTATGGTCTCTTATTTACTTGTTTGCTTGCTTGCTTCTATACTCATCATCCTCCAAAAAGAGAGAGAAAAGAGGGAGGAGCGTCTTAAATAAAACTACCACAATAAAACAATTCAAGTAAGGGGAAAAAATAATAAAAGCTAAGCTTGTGCAGTTTATCAGGCTTGATTCCCAAAAGGTATTCTCAAGGAGCATGAAGGTATGGATTTGTCTACAAGTCCTGAAAGCAGCAATGTCCTTTCCTGAAATTGCACAGCTGTTTTCAAGAGTTGCCAACAGGTTCCAAGCTTACGCTCCTACATTCTTTGAGCAACTTTTTGGAACCCCATCCAAAGCTCTGCACAGCTATATTCAAAACAAAACTCATTAAAAAATAAAACAAAATAAAGAATTTAAAACTTTTAAAGGCTGTCTATTTTTGGAGAAGCAGCTATTCCATTCATATTTTTAATCATTTCCTGAAGGAAGTCAGTGTGTGGAACAGAGCAATCAAACATCCCTCAGGAGACAAATTCTTAAGAGGGTGCCATAAAATTCTACCAGTGGAACAAGAATAGATCTCCCCAGCTGATCCTAAGTTGGATAGTATTGGGGGAGGCAGTCATTTAAATGCCTGATCCTGAACCTTTTGGCCTTTATAGATTAATTTCAACATCTGAAGGCAACTAGTGCCATGTTTCCTGGACTCATATATATAGTCTGATTTATCTACTTCACTTAATTGGACAGCTGCTTTCTATACTAGCAGCAGTCTCTGGACTCCTCTGCAGTAATGCAAGCAATGAATTATATTATTAAATCATAGGTCAGTGAGACTAGGCTAACTTAGGAATGGTCATGGCTGATACAGCAACCAAAGCTGGCCCCTTTTTTAATTTTGTGGCAAAATTAATTGGATGCTCCGTGTGAATTTAAATTTATTTAACCTATAGGAGGAGACCGGCTTATCAGTTCCTGCCACACCAATGATTTCATAGCTAAAACTGCCTTCAAACCATCAAAATGAAGCCTCTATACATGGACAGAACTAGAGGGAGTATATAAACATCAAATTGCATAAAGGAGGTGGAGAAGCTCAAATATAGCATGAAGTCAGTTGCTGGCTGTGGACTAGCTTATGAACTGCAAAGCATCAGTAAGCAATGTATTCACGTGACATGGTTTACGACCACATCACTTAGTGACACCAGTCCCAATTGCCATTGTAACCCAAGGATTATCTGCATTTATTCAGCCTATATGCTAAATATACATTAAGGACAGCTGGATTGAAAGAAGGTGAGCATGGTTTTAAAACTGGAGGAAGAAGTAACACTGCACCATGCTGATAACCTTACTCTGATGATCAAAAAATGCAAAGGATCTGCAGAGTCTAGTAATAAAAGTCAAGAAGGAAAGAGAAAAAGGACTAAAATTAAATATAAAGAGCAAACTAATAATAACAGATACAAGCTGGCTTAGAATTGACAATGAAACTATTGATAAAGTGGATAGCTTCTGCTTTTAGGACAGAAGGTTGCATGCCTTTGATGGTTGCATCAACAGTAAAAGGACAAGCAATAAAAATGTGCCACAAACTAGCATTTGATAGAGCAGTCATAAAGGTTTTTGAAAAGATATTCAACTGCCATTATGTGTAATATCTACAAAGATCAGAATTGTGCAATCCATGGCATTCTCTGTTATATTATTATTATACCCTATTTAGACGTGAAAGTTGGACTTTGAAGAATTATTAAAGTATTGATGCTTTTGAAATTTGATTTGGGTGAAGTCTCCTGAGAATACCATTTACAACCAAGAAAACAAACAAAAATTAGATCATTAAACAAATCAACACAGAGTTCTTACTCAAGAACCAGATTCAATGACTAGATTCAAATTATTCTACTTTAGGCAGATTAGGCAAATACCCAACTCTTTTGAAAAGACTGCAATACCAGAAAAAAATGAAAGAGAAAAAGAAGGTGACCAGCAGCAAAGCAAGACGGTTACTGTTGGAAGGCCTGAAAGACCAATTTGGGGATTGAGTATCATGGAGAAAATCTATTTAAGGTAATCTCTAGAAGTAAAGAAGAATTTGATGGTGCATAATCAATCAAAATCCAATATATGTTTATGAGGAAGTTCTAAAATGAGACTTTATCTCAACTTAGAGCAGCTTTAATTCAGTTCAATATTGTGCATTTCAGATGTGCTGGTAATATTAACAGAATAACAGAATTGGAAAGGATCTTGAAGATCTTCTAGTCCAATGTCTTGCTCACACCCTATACTATTCCAGACAATGTCCAATCTCTTCTTAAAAGCCTCCAGTGATTGAGCACCCATAATTTCTGGAGGCAAGTCGTTCCACTAATAAACTGTTCTCCCTGATAGGTAATTTCTCCTTAAGTCTAGGCTGGATTTCTCTTTGATAAACTTGTATCTTTTATTTCTTATCTGGTGCGTTGAAGAATAAGTCAACAATCCCCTTTTTCCTGTGGCAACCCCTCAAATACTGGAATATTGCTTTCATATTACCCCTAGTCCTAGTCCTTCATTAGACCAGACATACCCAGTTCCCACAACTGTTCATCATATGCTTTAGCCTCCAGTCACCTAATCATGTTTGTTACTCTTCTCTGCACTCTTTCTACAGTCTCAACATCTATTTTGTATTGTAGTGACCACTATAAAGCAGTACTAACACTTAATGTGATATTGATACTATCCCTCTGTTGATACAGTATAAAACTGCATTGGCTTTTTTTTGGGGGGGGGGCAGCTGTAGCACATTGCTGGCTCATAGTTAAATAGCTGCCCACTAGGACTCCTAGATTTCTATCACAGTTACTGCTATTGAGCCAAGTATACAGCTTCCAGAATTTCCTGGTGACTTAACAACAACCTGTTCTAGACTGAGTTCACACATTTTATATAACCCAGACATTTTTTACCCATGACTTACTGAATAAACCACCATTGTCTAGGTTCACACTGCATACACTAAACTGTAAATCATTGTTTACAAAGAACAACAGCTGGGTTAAATCAAACCTAAGTCAAAACCAAGTTTAGCTCAGCTTAGTTCAATGTAGATGGTAGAGAACAGGAAGGCCTGGAGGAACGTTGTCCATGGGGTCGTGATGGGTCAGACACGACTTCGCAACTAACAACAACAAATTCAATGTATTAAGTGAGCTTTTCTATTAACACAAAATTTTTCAATCAACAGTAGTAAAAATATCTGTGCATAGAATATTTGAAGATTGATTATTTGAAAGTAACTATTTTAGCTCACAAAAATAACCATGCTGTGTTAAGTTCCTTTTTTCACAGTTCATGAAAACAATGTGATTGATACATAGTCATATTAGTTATGGCATTCGTACCTGGAATTTACATTCGAAATGAATTTCAGTATTGTTCAAGCCATCTCAAAACTTTAAAACAAAGATAAAAACTAATGCTGTCTTTATAATGAGATTGATAGATAAATTATTTTAATGATACAGGCCTGAAACATAATGCACTTTAGCTGAAGATAAATGTGCATGGAATTAAGGAGCAAAAGATTACATGAGGCAAAAAAATGAATGCATTATTGGCAAAACTGTACATACATCATAATGCAATTTGTCTCTCCACAAAAAAAGAAAAAAAATCTATTCCCTTTCCATCAGTCTCATCTCAGTTTAAGTCAATATTGCTTTCAGAACAGAAATAGATTTTTATTTAATTATTTCAATTTATATTCTTCTCCATACTGAAAGTACAGGACAATTTGAATGGGTTTGCTTTTTTAAAAAATAGCTTTTTATGTATTTTTGTGTGTAAGGTGCTCAAGACTAGCTAATTGGGTGGCTGCTGCTTTTTTTTTTTTTTTTTTTTGCTTTAAGACAATTCTTGTATATAAGGGAATGAGAGAGAGAGAAAGAAAGAGAGAAAGAGATGCTAAAAATGACTCCAGGTACTTTATGGAAGTGCCAGCCTATATGCTATTTCGCAAAGTATGCAGTCACCAAAAAGTATGGAAAATTCCTGAAAAACTTTCTGTACAACAGCTGAGACAAATATGGGCAGTTACTACCATGCCCTATGGTTAATGCATTGAGTTAGAACTAGAAAGACTGGAATTTAAATCCTTATTCAGCTATAGAAGATCATTCAGTGACTCTGAGCCAGTATCTAAGAGCAAATAACTTAATAGGGTGAGAAGGTAGAGATGAAGTTGCAGGAGAGGGTGCTATATATGGTACGCCAAGGTCCTAAATAAAAGTAGGGTATGAATCTAATCAAGAACCTATTCCAATCTTGACGGGAAAACTCAGTTACTTGAGTTAAGATTGTAGAAAAAATGAAAATGAGATCATTGGATTTTATGACATCATCATAAAAGTAGGAGGTATAAATTCAGAGTTAGGGAAAGGGGATTGATTGATTGATTAATTTGTCTGTTTGCAGAAGTCAGTTCATGTACTTTGTTTTATCCTGAAGAATCCAAGATGAAAATGAAAAGCTGTCCCAGAAACAGCCACACTGGGACAAATAGTAATCAAAAAGTGACAGCACCATGATAATCTTCTCTGGGCTCAGAAGCTAAGTAGGATTAAGCCTGGTCCAAGATATCACCAGAAATTAAACTTGGCTGAAACAAAAATAGCTTCTGTAATATGTACATGTGTTTGTGCGTATGCATGTTGCCCTACCATATTTACTGCCATAAGGTTAAATAAACCTTGCAGGATGGTATGCATTTGAAAAACTTAAAAGCTGGCAAGACTTGTGGGTGTTCATTACATAGATTCAAAGCTAAACTTTGATTTGAATGCATCTTTACATTTTCCATTTATGTAGTGGCCTTATATCCTCACCACTTAACACATTTGCAATGGATCTTTAGCTTGAAAAATCAAAGCCATTGTAACCTGAAATTGATTTTTCTGTACAAGACTTGTTCAAAGGAAAATCCGATTTTGTTTGTATAAAGTACATTCAATGCAAGAAGATACACCTG